ACCCTATCCTGGTGAAGGAGGTAGGGCGGCCAACCATCCCTGCTTGTCAGGGACTGAGGGGGGCTCCTAGGGGGAAACTTCAGTACTAAAAACTGGCAAGTCCTGGGCAAACTGAGACAAGGTGGCTACACTAGACTGAAGCTTCAGCTGAGTGCAGCTGCCTCCATGCCCCAGTGTCCTCGGTATCTAGATTGGCATCCAGCAGTCCCCCGCAGGGTGGCATAGACACTGCCACTTACTAAGCTCAAGTAGTCATACTCTTGCCAGACCTTCATTTGCTTCTATGTCAAATCAGGTTAATAGTAGCTACCATGTAGGGGTTGTGGTGCTTGAATGAAAAGGCATGAATCTGCCTGGTGAAGCATCTGGCACATAGTAATCACTTAAATGTTAGCAGTCTTAGTTCTCACTCATTCATTCAATTCATTCAACAAATCTGCATGTGTACAATGTGCCGGGCAGTGCTGTAGCCCAAGGAACAAAGACAAAAGTCCTGCCCTTGTGGAGGAGCTGGATAAACAGTAAGTGAATGCATCCTATTATGTGCTAGGTGAGAAGACCTGTGGAGGGAAATGATTGAGCAGGATGAGCGGGATCAAGAGTGCCAGGTAAATACGGTGGTCAGGGTAGACCTCACTAAAAAAAAGACATTTGTACAAAGACCTGAAGGAGGTAAGGAAACAAGCCCTCCCCAGCGAGAAGGAATCTGGGCAGAGGGAACAGCTTGTGCAGAGGCCCTGAAGTGACGCATGTCTAGTGTGTTCAGGGAACAGCAAGCAGGCTGGCGGGGCCGGATCACAGTGAACAGGGGAAACTAGTAGGAGATAAGGACTGGGGGGCTGGGGGAATCATAAGGGGCCTGGAAGCCCATTATTAAGTCCTTGGCACCTAGTTTGACTCTAAGTAAAAGCCAGAAGGTTTTGAGCAGATGAATCACATATACTGCGTTGTATCTTGAAAAAGATAATTCTGGCTAATACATTGAGAAGAGACTGAAAACAGCAGAGTGAGGATGAAGGCAAGGGGACCAGTTAGAAGACGATTGCTATAATCCAGATGAGAGATGATGGTTTAAACCAGGATGATAACAGTGAAAATGGAAAGCGATTGGACTTTAGATATATTTTGAAGGTACAGCTGATAGGATTTCTTGACTACATGATATAGGAGATGTGGGGCTAGACATCAAAGATGATGATGGGGTATTAGCATGAGAGCACAGAGGGACAGGTAGCCCTGCTCTCTGCCCCTCCTATGTCCCTCTTTTTGGGAGGGAGGGTTTCATTAGGCTATTGGGGTACACCTTATGATCTTTAATATCTGATGCCCTGGTTTGCCCTCATAATCATCTACTAAACTTTGAAAATGAGGAAAGGGCATTTCCTCCCTTTATATTGTTAATCCTGCTTCTTCGAGAAGCATCCCAGGTAGATTAACAAATAACCAGCACTCCTGCTTCCCTTCAGCAATCCTGGCTCTTCAGCACAGCAGTCCCAACTTGGCACAGCCTTGCCATCTCTGTTCCCTGGGGAGAAAGGACCAGCAAGTCCCTTCCCCCCTGGCAAGTCTGCCTCTGCCTGTCTGGGACTAAAGATGCCCTGCCCAGAACACTCCTTTCCCAGGCCCTGGGTTTCCCTCCTACTGGGAACCTGACTTCTCAGGCTGGTGGAGGCCGGGAGCCTCTGGGGAACAGCCCAACTTGCTTCTAGAGATTTGGCCAAATCTCACAGCTCTGTGGGGCTCAGCTGAAAGCCAGGGTAATGTACTTGGGCACTGGGAGTCAGGAGACCCTGGATAAGACATCAGGCACTGCTTCCCTAATCAGCTCCTGTGTCTCTCTCATAAGCACTAGCAAGTGAACGTGGTCTCAAAAGAGGGCCCTCAGCCAGACACAGTGGCTTACACCTGCGATCCCAGCACTTTGGGAGGCTGAGTTGAGTGGATCACTTGAGGTCAGGAGTTCAAGACCAGCCTGACCAACATGGAGGCTGAGGCAGGAGAATGGTTTGAACCCAAGAGGCAGAGGTTGCAGTGAGCCGAGATGGTGCCATTGCACTCCAGCCCAGACGACAAGAGCAAAACTCCATCTCGAAAAAAGAAAAGAGGTCCCTCACACCCCTGACTCACAGGTGTGAACGCCAGCTCATTCCCCCGACTTTCATCTCCTGCTCCCCACATCTGCCTTTCCAGGCAGATGAGTATCTTGAGTATGTCTCCTGATGTTCTTTGTTGTATAGGATAGGGAAATGGAGATCATCTCAAACTCTGCAAATAATACTCCCTTGGGTACCTATTTTCCCATTTTCAAAATCTTTATCTGTCCAGATGTCCTTCTCAGGTCCTAACCCAAATCTCTCTCCTCTGACACTTAAGGTAACACTCCTGGGTTTTTTGTTTTGTTTTGTTTTGTTTGAGACAGAGTCTCTCTGTGTCACCCAGGCTGGAGTGTAGTGGCGCCATCTCAGCTCACTGCAACCTCTGCCTTCCAGATTCAGACGATTCTCCTGCCTCTGCCTCCCGAGTAGCTGGGATTACAGGCACACACCACCACACCTGGCTAATTTTTGTATTTTTAACAGAGACAGGGTTTCCCATGTTGGCCAGGCTGGTCTCAAACTCCTGACCTCAGGTGACCTGCCTACCTCAGCCTCCCACAGTATTGGGATTGCAGGCATGAGCCACCACACCCGGCCCACTCCTGGGTTCCATTCAGTGAAGATGGAGAATAGACATTTGCCTTCATACTATGTCTGCATTCCTTCCTCAGCAGCAGAATAGCCTTCACATTGACTGAAGTGTAAAGAAGTCCTCTGGCATCCAAGTCCTTTGCCTCCATTTTGCCCCTGCAGCCCCGTCATCCACTTCTCCTTATTCTCTCTGTGGAGCTTGGTTGAATTTCCCTTTCTCTGATTCTGACCCTCCTCAGTTGCTAACCTTATTTCAAGACAAAAGTCGCCCCACCCTGCCTGTGGGAAACCCTTCAAACAGGCAGCCAACAGCTTCCAGTGCCAAAACCAGGACTAATATGCTTCAGCGTGTGAACAGCTTGGTGAATACCAACTCATTAATCACCACAGTAGGATTTCCCCCTTCCCTTAAAGAGTAGCCCCCTGGGCACCCGTGAAAGGACCCAAATATAAGGAAAGCACTGAGTATAATTCTGCCTACCTCTTGGCCCTCTGGGAGAGTGCCTAGAGAGTATGTGTGTGTATATGTTTGGTGTCTGTGTTATGTGTGGTATGTATGTGGCATGTGGTCTGTGTGTGTGTGTATGTGTCATGTATCTGTGTGGTATGTATTGTGTATGTGGTTTGTGGTTTGTGTTTTGTGTGTTTGTGTCTGTATATTGTGTATGTGGTGTGTGGCCATTCTCCTACCTCATCCTCCCAAGTGTGTGGTGTGTATGTGTCTGTGTGGATGTGGTGTGTGTGGTACGAGGTATATGTACACACATATGTAAGGTATGTAAGCATACATATGTTGGTGGGAGGATGCTGGTAACCAAGTACTGTGTAGTATCTGAAAACTTTGTGGCCTCACCTTTCTTATTCTCTCTCTCTTTGTTTATTTTTTTTGAGATGAAGTCTTGCACTGTTGCCCAGGCTGGAAAGCAGTGGCACAACCTCGGCTCACTACAACCTCTGCCTCCCGGGTTCAAGCCATTCTCCTGCCTCAGCCTCCCAAGTAGCTGGGATTACAAGCATCCACCACCACACCCAGCTATGTTTTTTGTATTTTTAATAGAGATGGGTTTTCACTATGTTGGCCAGGCTGGTCTCAAACTCCTGACCTCGTGAACCACCCATCTCAGCCTCCCAAAGTATTGGGATTACAGGCGTGAGCCACCATGCCAGCCTTCTCATTCTCTGTATATTCAACCTGGGTAGTAATACTTCTCTTAGTAGTTACTTAGTCCTTAATAGAATGGTAGTACCTCTCAGTGGTATGTGTCTGTGCCTCTGTGTATGTTTGTGTACATGCACATGCACATACGCACACAGGTGTGTACATGTGTGTGATAGAAAGGGAGGGGCACATGTGCTTAAAGGGGATGCCCACAAGTTATAGTCTCAAAGACTGCTCTGATGCTCTCCTAAAGCTCCTGGATCTTGGAATCAGGACACGTGTGATGATGTGATGATGCTCTGTCTCCATCTTGCATGACCTTGAGCAAGGAGCTTGTTCTTCCTGGCCTTTGTGTGTGAGCCAATGGATGGCAGCTCACTCTGCATTTAAATCACCCTAGCATTTACCTGTTAATGTGACATAAAAGTTCTGTGTGAATCCCAAGAACCACTTTAATATTTACGTTCTCAGAGCTGGGGCCTGGAGCATACTCAATCAGTAGCAGATGAGATTTTATGTCTGGTTAAGAATTTATCCAGCTTATACTTGTTATTAAGATAAGTGAGTGGTCCCATGGCAGACCAGTTTCATTTTGCCCATTTTAGACTGAAAGTTCCACCTTCTCTGAGTCCTGGGCAGATTGGTTGTCTCTAACTGAATCTCATACTTGTGTGAATCACGAAGAAGGGGATCTTTTTTATCTATTTATTTATTAAATTATTTAATTTTTGAGATAAGGTCTCACTTTGCTGCTCAGGCTGGAACGCAGTGACATGATCACGGCTCGCTGCAGCCTCAATCTCCTGAGCTCAAAACAATCCTCCCACCTCAGCCCCCTGAGTAGCTGTGACTACAGGTATACCACACCATGCCTGGCTAATTTTTGTCTCTTCTGTGGAGACAAGGTTTCACCGTGTTGCCCAGGCTGGTCTCAAACTCCTAAACTTAAGTGATCTACCCACCTTGGCCTCCCAAAGTGCTAGAATTACAGGTGTGAGTCACCATGCCTGGCCTTTTTATTTATTTTATTTATTTTTGAGACAGTGTCTCTGTTGCCCAGGCTAGAGTGTAATGGCTCATTGCCACTTCAAAACTGCCTTTTATCATTTTCCATTTTTTCTGCATGTATTCATCCACTCCTATCTCTTTTTCAGGTCTATCAGGGAACCCTGCAGATCTGGAGAAACGTAGGCAGGTGTTTGGACACAACGTGATCCCTCCCAAAAAGCCCAAGACCTTCTTAGAATTAGTGTGGGAAGCCCTTCAAGATGTCACACTCATCATCCTGGAGATTGCAGCCATCATCTCCCTGGTCCTGTCTTTTTATCGCCCAGCTGGCGAAGAAAATGAACGTGAGTGTCCTAAACAGCTCAGTGTGACTCTGATTCTGGGTTCTTTCCACCACCAGCAAAAAGCACTTAAAACAGGTTATGTGGCTGACAGGTTATAGCTTAAAACATTCCCCTATTATCCAGAGTGGCCTTTCCAAAGGAAACCAACCAGCAGCTACTAAGCTATTCTTCCAACTCATCCTTATTCCAAGGGTTCCTCCCCACCCCACCCCCCACCCACTTTCTCCCATTAAATCCTTTTTCAGAATGTCAGGAATCTTCTACCCTTTTAAGAAATTTTATTTATTTATTTATTTATTTATTTGTTCATTCATTAATTCATTATTTTTAAATGGATTCTTGTTCTGTCACCCAGGCTGAGCGCAGCAGCTTGATCTGGACTTACTGCAACCTCCTGAGTTCAAGCAATTTTCATGTCTCAGCCTCCTGAGTAGCTGTGATTACAGGTGCCATCACGTCTGGCTAATTTTTATATTTTTAGTAGAGACAGGGCCTCACCATGTTGGCCAGACTGGTGTCCTAACCTCAGGTGATCCACCTGCCTCGGCCTCCCAAAGTGCTGGAGTTACAGGTGTGAGCCACTTAATAATTTATTAATAATAAAATAATTTTATTATTATGTCCCCAAACCAGCCTATTTAATAATTTTTGTGACATAGAGACAAGATCTCACTATGTTGCCCCTGTTGGTCTCAAACTCCTGGGATCAAGCAATCTTTCCGCCTCAGCCTCCCAGAGTTCCGGGATTACAGGTGTGAGCCTGTAATCCTTTCCACCACCAAAAAGCACTTAGTATTGGTGACTGACAGGTTATAGCTTAAAACATTCCCCCTGTTATCCAGAGTGGGCTTTCCAAAGGAAACCAACCAGTAGCTACTCAGCTATTCTTCCAACCAGGAATTCTCTACCCTTAATCCAACCAACAAAACCCTGCATCTTAAAGTGCCCCCCCACCACCAATTGTCTGGCTTTTTGGGAAGTAGCAGTGAAAGCCTGACCATGTTGGGAATCATAAGTGTGACCTTACATGTGGCTTGCCTAAATTTGATAGTTTGTACTATTTAGTCACGTGCATTTTTGGATTAACGTGAGTAGTTACACTGGTGATAAGACAGTACTCAATCCTGCTATCCTCTGATATCCTCTTCTAGCCAACAGTTGTATTTGCTATTATTCTCTTTTTCTGACTTGCCATCTCGGGGGGATTGTGGAAGCACTACTCCTATTCCTCAATGTCAACAAAAGCCCTTCAGTGACTATTTCTCTCCCTTCCTGGGATAGTGTGTGGTCAAGCCGCAACTGCCCCAGAAGATGAAAACGAGGCACAAGCCGGCTGGATTGAGGGGGCAGCCATACTTTTCTCCGTGATCATCGTGGTGTTAGTGACTGCCTTTAATGATTGGAGCAAAGAGAAGCAATTCCGAGGGCTGCAGAACCGCATTGAACAGGAGCAAAAGTTCTCCATCATTCGAAATGGTCAACTCATCCAGCTTCCTGTGGCTGAGATTGTGGTGGGTGATATTGCCCAAGTCAAATACGGTGAGAGCTCTGTATTTCTTGTACTCACCCCTCGCCCCCCACCACCCCTATTTAAGGGGTAGATCCTTTGGCACGAGAGGGCTGGGAATTGCTGAAAACCTCAGAAGATAAGATCCCAAATTGTATTCACTTCTAAGTTAGAGTTTAAGGAGGTTGGGAGAAGGAATTTCGGAAAGGATTAGCTGAAACTCTCCCACAAGATTGTCAGGCTTGTACCCTGTGTGTCTTAAGGTTAAAGTGTATGATATTCAGGCCATGGAAAGGTGTTGGGGATGAATGATAGTTTGAATTTATAATGCCTGGAAAGCAGTCTTCTCCCAGGGTGAACAGAGCTGAAGTCTTATAAAGACCCTCCATGTACTCTCGGCCATTGCTCTCTAGGTAGGGCCCATGGGAGCAGCCCTGAGATGGGGTCGAAGGAGTTGTAGGTCCCTGTCCTCAGCCAGGTCCCTCTCCTCTTACTACCTCCTTCACTGTCCCCACGTCCTCTTTGTGCTCTAGGTGATCTGCTGCCTGCAGATGGGGTCTTGATCCAAGGGAATGATCTGAAGATTGACGAGAGCTCTCTGACAGGGGAATCCGACCATGTCAAGAAGTACCTGGAAAAAGACCCCATGTTGCTCTCAGGTATAGGCCCCAGCTACCCAAGTTCACATTTACCTCCCTGCAAACAGCCAGACCACAGGATCCAGACCCCGTCTCTCTTCTGGCTATGTCCCATTTCCTTCCCTGGGGTTTAGCTGGGGCAACAGCATTTTGGTGGATGAAATACAAGGATATCAGTCAGCCTAAATGAAGTTTTCCAGGAAACAAGTGTTATAAGGGCCTTGGAGGGGCTCTGCTGGTTGCAGGGGTGGGAGTGGGAGCGGGTGGGAGAGCCTACCTAAAGCAGTTAGATACGGTTTCCTCCTTACTCACAATTTGCCTGATCTGTTTTAAATGCGCCCAGCCCTTGACCTTTTCCTACTGTGCTAAGCACAGCATTATCCATGGGGTAAGGAGGATGATTTTTTTCTTCTTAGTCTGTGTTTCATACCAAATCATGTCTAGGTATTTAAAAACCCTCTCCTTTCCCATGTAGGCACCCATGTCATGGAAGGTTCTGGCAGGATGGTGGTGACTGCTGTGGGTATCAACTCTCAGACTGGAATCATCCTTACTCTCTTGGGGGTCAATGAGGATGACGAAGGGGAGAAGAAGAAGAAAGGTAAGGGGCATCTGGAATGAGATTCTTTTTCCTCTCATTCCTGCGGACAAACAAGGAAGCGAGGGAGCCGATCTGGATAGAAAGCCTAGTTGAAAGAGTCTGCCGCGATGAAGAACGCGGATATCCAGACTGCCTGCCGAGATAAAGATGTGAATCCTTGGCTCCAGGGAGCTCTGATGAAAACTAGATCCTGGCTCTAGGCTCCCAAGTCAGGCTGAATTTGAGCCTTGATTTTTGTGTCTAACTGTAGCTTGTAAAAGGATGAGTTATAAAGCTACGTGAAATGAACTGGCTAGGTGCTGTAGCCCAGATGCCTTCCGTGTACCCCTCTTCCTTCCCCAACTTTCTTCCTCAAAGTTGGGGGGTGAAATGAACCATTGAGGCTAAGAGAAAACTGGCCAGAAGAATAAAATAGATTTCTGTGAAACTGTGGGCTCTCAGTGGAAGACAGACACAGCTAGAAAAGTCAGGAACAGTTAGCTCGGGCTTTGCCACTCAGTTGTTCCTGAAGGAAAGAATAACAGAGGCAGAAAGAGGAAAAGATACTAAAACCAAGTCTACACATTTCCCTAACCATTCCTTCTTCCCTTAGGGGAGAAAAGGTTGCTACCACTTGGCTGGAGGGTCATCTTGAGCTGTTTAGTGGAGGGCAGTTTATGAAAAGGAAACAAAACACATTCTTTCAGGAACTAAGCAATTCATTTCTGCAGCTACCTGCAGATGAATCAGGAGGAAGCTTGCCTGGTGCTGTTGAAGTAACACGGAGACACATTTCAGAGTCTTTGCCGTCAGGAAGAAACAGTTCAAACCTCTCACTTCCTAATCCCCACCCCATTTTCCCAAGCAATGTGACTCAGGCCAGGAGCAAGAGAAAGCAGCTCAGGTGTGAGTATGCACTCACCTACATGAGCGTTTTGGTGGATATCACGAGGATTCATGAGAGCCTCTAGCAAGAATGAATGAAAGCAGAGATGTGAGCTTCCTTTACATTTATGTCCCTTCCCTGCAACCCAACACCTTTGCTGTCGCCCTTCTGGGCTCTGAGCAGGACCAACAAATTAGATCTCTTAATAGTCACTTTGGGTTTCGACCCCACTTTTTTCTTTCTTGTTCAAACAGGTAAAAAACAAGGAGTCCCTGAAAATCGCAACAAAGGTAACCTCTCCAACCACTCATTTATCATCTCTACCTGCCCATGCTCAAACCAGACCTTTCCAGGCCATCTGCCTTCTCCCTTTTCCTCTCCATAAATCTGTTATCTGCTGCTCAGATACCTCACCCTGAGGAAGGTGCAGAGATTTTTTTGGGGTGGTCTCAAGGTCCTGATCCCAATCTAAGATGAGACAACAGCACCCTCTGCTGTTGGCTCACAGAACCTCATGTCACGGTTTCTCTTGGGGAATGCGTAGGATTAATTTGCTCTTCAGAGGGAGCTGAGCTCTGCTTCATTGGCCTCAGCCTGATTTAAACACTAACAGTCATCAGTTTCTGGGTTGGAAGACTTCAGGGTCCTCATAGTGGAGGGAGGTAGGGTGGGCAGTCCCTGCACCCTCCTCTTGCTAGCTTCCTCATCGGTGTCCTCTTCTGGTCTGGATTCCTTCTCCACCAGTCTTCTCAGAGGTGCTTGGAGAGAGCCCTTACTCTGTACCTCTCTCCCCACCTCCTTCTCTGTTCTTGCCACAGTCTGTTTTCTTCCTCCTGATCTGATGTGTGTTTCTCTTTTGGTGGCTGTGTTCACATCCCATCTCCGTCTTCTCGTTTGTGAGTCTGACAGCAGGGACTACTCAGGAAGGGCATCCTACACAAGGGGCTGAGCCCTACAGGGGTGAAAGTGGGGTGGTGCTGGGAGCCAGCAAGAACTGCTCTCTTGAGATGCTGCTAGAGATTTGTTTTTACTTCGTCACCCACATCATAGCAGTCTTTAGAAATCAAGTCGTTACATCGGAAAACCAGGGTTAAACAGAAATAATTCTGTAATTTTAGGTCTTTAACTCTTCTTTTAAAAGCACAATGGATTTATATGTGTCTCTTTCCCTGCTTTCTCTTATTCCAGGAGGTCCCTCACACCAGCTTCTTCCCTCTCCCCAAAGACTTAACCCCAGGTCCCACCCTGTATCTCTCTACCTTTGTCAGGCAGGAAAGAAAGGGAATTTCCTTTTCCTATCCTTCAACTGCTAGAAGGAGCTGGAAAATACTCTGGGTCTGGGGGTATGTGTTTCTTCCCTGACAGTCAAGAGAGAGAGAAAGAGAGATAAAGCATTTAACAGAGCAATCTTGTGCTCTAGAAACATCTACCAACCCTCTCCTTCAGCCCCTTTCTGCAGTAAAGATTCACTATTTTAAGCACTGAGTTCCAGGAAGGATGGTTGTTACAATGGTGCTTAGTGACATAATTAATCCCCTTGCTGGAGTAAACCTGGCTTGGGGCTCCGAGGTAGTGCCAGGAAGCTGCCACTGAAGAAGAAATCCATACACTAAAAGCACCCCTGTTTCATCTAAAGTCATTAGAATATTATTCCAAAGGCCCTAATAGAGCATCGAAGGCAAGTTCCATGTCTAGCATGAGTTAGGAGTGGTCAGAACTGATGGCAGAGTCCAAGGTATATTCTGGAAAGGAGACAGGAGGGTTTTTTGTTTCCAACTGCCTGCCGCTCAGTGCTACCATCTTTCCTGCTCACCCGTCCTATTTGTGTATATACTCTAGCAAAGACCCAGGACGGAGTGGCCCTGGAAATCCAGCCACTCAACAGCCAGGAGGGAACCGACAATGAGGAAAAGGAAAAGAAGGCAGTCAAAGTACCGAAAAAGGAGAAGTCAGTGCTCCAGGGCAAGCTGACTCGCCTGGCTGTTCAGATTGGGAAAGCAGGTGAGTAGGGGTGAGTAGGGTAGAGCCTCCTTATGGTTTATCAATGCTATCCTAGATCCTCATCACTGTTATCCCCTTCTTTCTGCACCAACCAAGACTGACAGAAAGAAGCTAAATCTTTAGGATGGCCACTGTTTGGTTGCTCCCTAGGCTTTTTCAGAGAGAAGTGTTTTCTTGTGTGTAAGGGTTAACGGTCCTGAGATCTCTTCATCCAAATGAATGAGAAGGAAAGAGCATATATTACAGCAGGGGAGATTTACATTAGCAAGAAGGAACACTTCAATAACTGCTTACCTGACTCGTGTTTTGGGTTGTAAATTCCTTAAAGATAGAGAAGGCTGCAGCTTGCTAGAGGCAATTTCCTGACATAGTACTTGGATCTGGTCAAGCATGGAGCAATAAATACCGAATAAGGACTGGAGGAAGAAGGACGGCTGTGGTTAGAGAGGCTCTCTCCAGAGGAGAGGTCACTAAATGCACTCTGCATATGAAGAAGTGGCTTCTCCATCACTGGCCTCTACATTTTCTTCTCTCACCACCTTCTTTCAATGGAGAGGGAGAATGGGGAGTGGGGAGAAGAAATAGAAAGAAGATTGCTACTTCAGTGGACATATCCCTCAAGGAATAGTCTTTTTTTTTTTTTTTTTTTTGAGGTGCAGTCTTCCTCTATTGCCCAGGCTGGAGTGCAGTGACGCCATCTCAACTCACTGCAGCATCCACCTCCTGGTTCAAGCGATTCTCCTGCCTCAGCCACCCAAGTATAGGGGAGTACAGATAGACACCACAACGCCCATCTAATTTTTTATTTTTAGTAGAGATGGGGTTTTGCCATGTTGGCCAGGCTTGTCTTGAACTCCTGGCCTCAAGTGATCTGCCCACCTCAACCTCACAAAGTGCTAGGATTATAGGCATGAGCCACCGTGCCTGGCCAAAGAATAGTCTTTTACCACTGTTTATTCTGACTCCACCTTTCTGGTTAGCACAATCATAATCAGCACATCTCTGCACTTTATACAACTGTATACAACTTACCTGGGGTTCTTGTTAAAGTATAGATTCAGTTCCGGGGGTCTGGTGTGGAGCCTGAGACTCTGCATTCCTAACAAGCCCCCATAGGATGCCAACACCACTGATCCAGTTTGCACACATTGGACAGCAGGGATTTATGCTGCCCACCATAGCAGCCACTCACCACATGTGGCTGCTGCAATTTAAATCAATTAAAAGTAAATAAAGTTACAAATCCAGTTCCTGGGGCACATTGTAGTTGGTCAGGAGCCACATGTGCTAGTGGCTGTCATATCGGACAGCACAAAGAGAGAGCTTCTTAAGCATCACAGAAAGACCTGTTGGACTGAGTTGGCCTAACCTCTTCATGTCTGTTCTAGTACCCAGCTAATTTTAACTACAGTCAAATCTCTTGCATGTAAACTACACGTGGATGAGAATAATTGCAGGTGCAGAATCAAGTTATTAGGCGTGGCACACAGGTTTGAAACATTAAATAGGCCTCGTCTGACCCTTGCACTATTCTCCCAATCCCTGCCTTGTTCCTTTTTTTTCTTTTTTTCTGCTCTTGTTACCCAGGCTGGAGTGCAATGGCACGATTTCGGCTCACTGCAACCTCCATCTCCTGGGTTCAAGCAATTCTCCTGCCTCAGCCTCCCAAGTAGCTGGGACTACAGGCGTGTACCACCATGCCCAGATAATTTTTGTATTTTTAGTAGAGACAGGGGTTTCACCATGTTGACCAGGATGGTCTCGATCTCTTGACCTTGTGATCCACCCGCCTTGGCCTCCCAAAGTGCTGGGATTATAGGCGTGAGCCACCACACCTGGACTTTTTTTTTTTTTTGACAAAGTCTTACTCTATCTCCCAGGCTGGAGTACAGTAATGCTATCTCAGCTCACTGTAATCTCCGTCTCTGGGGTTCAAGTGATTCTCATGCCTCAGCCTCCTGAGTAGCTGGGATTACAGGCATGCACCACCATGCCTGACTAATTTTTAGTAAAGACGGGTTTTCACCATATTGGGCAGGCTAGCCTCAAACTGCTGCCCTCAAGTGATCTGCCCCTGGCCTCAAGTGATATGTCTGCCTCAGCCTCCCAAAGCGCTGAGATTGTAGGCATGAGTCACTGCCCCTGGCCCCTGCCGTGTTCTCAGAGTACAAGCTACATGATGACTGACCCCTAGTCTCCTTTGTTGCTTTATTTTATATATCAGGCCAGTCTAGGAATAGGGTAAGGCAAGTCAGATGCCTTCCAACACCTGGAGAGCGAGTTCCTTCTTAAATTTTGTACCCTCAGTGTCTTGCTTCTCCACCTGAGTCCTGGCCCTAATCAGGCAAAGGACAGAAGACTTTGCTTTCATTTATATCATCATCTCTAGTTTGCTTGGAGGCCCCAAATCATCAGGCCCTTGGGAAAAGCAAACACCAAAACCAGACAATGATTTAAAGCAGAGCTTTTCCCAAATATTGTGCCATAGTTAGGGACAGTTGTTCCCAGATATTGATTCCATCAGCCCTCAAAGCAGCCAGACAGCACCCATGGCCATCAGAACCCCTAGGCCAGGAGGTTTCGACCTTGAGCAGATTTTTTTCATGTACGGTAATATGTAGGGTAATGAACCATCGCGTTTGCTTGGAATTTTCTCAATTTTAGCAAAATCCCACATCCCTGGAAACTGTTCGGTCTCAGGATGGTTTGGTCACCCTACCAATGGGCCATACCAAAGACCTCTCAGTACTTTCATTTCCTCATGTTTAAAAATGTGGTGATAATAGTAACTTATTTCACAGGGTTGTTGTGAAGTGCTTGCCTGGCCCACAGTAGGTGCCCATATAAATATTTACTATTGGCCGGGCGTGGTGGCTCACGCCTGTAATCCCAGCACTTTGGGAGGCCGAGGTGGGCAGATCACGAGGTCAAGAGATCGAGACCATACTGGCCAACATGGTGAAACCCCGTCTCTACTAAAAAATACAAAAATTAGCTGGGTATGGTGGCACGCGCTTGTAGTCCCAGCTTCTTGGGAGGCTGAGGCAGGAGAATTGCTTGAACCCAGAAGGCGGAGGTTGCAGTGAGCTGAGACGGCACCACTGCACTCCAGCCTGGCGCCTTATGACAAAACAAGACTCTGTCTCAAAAAATAAATAAATAAATAAATATTTACTATTATTGGCATCTTCTATGTGTGCCATGAAAAGAGAAAGATTGGGAAGCACTGTCCTAAGAGTTAGTCACGCAGGTGATGCACTAGCACCACAGAGACGTTGCTGTGAACACGACGTGAACTGTCCGACATTCAGAGGTTGGTAGGGGAGAAGTCAAAATGGATAAACTACTAGGAAGTGGACAAGTACAGTCATGACATTATGAATTGTAGGGAGAGGGCGGGTGTAAAATAGGATCGCAGAATGTTGTTTCAGGAAACAAATCAACCCCCTGATTTATTAATGAGGAATTTGGTCTAGGAAACAGTTCAGAAAGGGTCAATGACTTGTCCAAAGCCACAGTCAAGTTAGTGCAGTGCTGAGAATAGAACCTGTGTCTTTGAAATGTGAAACCAGTGTCTGTTCCCTATGCTGGAATGCACAAGCAACAGAGAATGGGCCAAAATTTTAGTAAGTCTTCCTGGAGATGGTGGTTTTAACAGTTGGCAACAAAGCCTACAACTGATGCCAATCCATCTCTGGCTAGGGACCCAGGAACACCCGCAGGCCTGGGTTCATGTGACTTGTTTCTCTGGACAGGTCTGATCATGTCTGCTCTCACGGTTTTCATCCTGATTCTATACTTTGTGATTGACAACTTTGTGATAAATCGCAGACCATGGCTCCCTGAATGTACTCCCATCTACATCCAGTACTTTGTCAAGTTCTTCATCATCGGCGTCACTGTACTGGTGGTGGCTGTGCCAGAGGGGCTGCCTCTGGCTGTCACCATCTCACTGGCCTACTCTGTGAAGGTGAGACTGGAACAATCCTATCTCTTTCTTTAGGATAGAGATGGGAGGGAAGCGTACCATGTAACCTTTAGGGAAAAGATAAGCCATTCTATTGTCTATAAACGTTGGCTGGTACCTCACAAGAGCAGAAGTCCCTGGTATTATGGAAGGATCATCTCCATCAGATGCATCAATGTTGAAATGACCCAGTAGACCCTTAAGAGAATGACAAAAATAGTACCTTGGATTTTTTTTTTTTTTTTTTTTTTTTTTGAGACAGAGTCTCAGTCTGTCACCCAGGCTGGAGGGCAATGGTATAACGTCAGCCTCTGGGTTCAGGTGATTCTCGTGCCTCAGCCTCCCAAGTTGATGGGATTACAGGCATGTACCACCATGCCCAGCTACCTTTTGTAGAGACAGGGATTCACTACATTGGCCAGGCTGGTCTTGAGCTCCTGACCTCAGGTGATCTGCCCACCTCAGCCTCCGAAAGTGCTGAGATTACAGGCATGAATCACCATACCTGGCCAGTATCTTGGATTTTTGTGTGAGACTAGAAGATGAAATGTGGAGAGATGTTGGCTAGGAAATGGCCTTTGACTTATATTTAGGAGAATCCAGTTAGTCCCCTTCGCAAATCTCTTCTCTTCTCCTTTGTAGAAAATGATGAAAGACAATAACCTGGTACGGCACTTGGATGCTTGTGAGACTATGGGCAATGCCACCGCCATCTGCTCTGATAAGACGGGCACGTTGACCATGAACCGCATGACTGTGGTGCAAGCTTATATTGGGGGCGTCCATTACCGTCAGATCCCAAGCCCTGATGTCTTCCTGCCCAAAGTCCTGGACCTTATTGTCAATGGCATTTCTATCAACAGTGCTTATACCTCCAAGATTCTGGTAAGCATTGCCTTTGCCTAGACACTTAAAATGGGTGGTTGGAAGAGACCATCAATTTTCTCTGAAATGAACCCCCTTATTCTTTACACTGCCTAAATTGTGGTCCCAAATCCTATTTCTCACTCTGGAGTGAATGTGTTTGGGTGAGAGTAGGGAAGAATCCCTGGGAATCAATGGAGGGTTGGGGGTAAGAGCCTATGAGAATCTGTGGCCAGAAAATACCCTCCTAATTAGCATAAAAGAGCTTTGTCTCTAAGGAGGGACCTCATGCTCATAGTAGAATTGGGCTTAACAGAAGTAAATTACTCACTTTCCAGAAACAAGCACAGAGTATTAGAATAAGACCCACACAGGGTGGGACACCAGCACTACCACTAGAGCCAACCACAAAACCCCTAAGTCATGGATGGCACGAGGATCACAGTTACCAGTGACCACTCTCTGCTCACTCTTGAAAAAAACAGGCTAGGTGTAGGGGCTTATGTCTGTAATCCCAACACTTTGGGAAGCCAAAGTAGGAGGATCACTTGAGCCCAGGAGTTCAAGAGCAATATAGTGAGACCGCTTCTCTACAAAAAATAAATAGAATTAGCCAGGCATGGTTGCACACCTTTAGTCCCAGCTATTCAGGAAGCTGAGGTGGGAAGATAGCTTGACCCTGGGAGGTCAGGGCTGCAGTGAGCTGAGATCATGCCACTGTGCTATGTCAAAAAAAAAAGAAAGAAAAAGAAAAAAGATGCCAGGTGTTGTGGCTCACAGCTGTAATCCTAGCACTTTGGGAGTTGAGGTGGGCAGATCACCTGAGGTCAGGAGTTCGAGACCAGCCTAGCCAACATGGTAAAACTCCATCTCTCTAAAAAATACAAAAATTACCTGGGCATGGTGGCAGGTACCTGTAGTCCCAGCTACTTAGGAGGCTGAAGCAGGAGAACCACTTGAACCCTGGAGGTGGAGGTTGCAGTGAGCCGAGATGGTGCCACTGCACTCCAGCCTGGGCGATAGAGTGAGACTCTGTCTCCAAAAAAGAAAAAAACAAAAAACAAATGTTATTTCCCCCATATGCTCCAGGCATATATATGAAGGCTTTGTAAATGAGTTCCTTCCTCCCTAAGTTCTCTGCCTTGTCAAGGCATCTTACTCAATAGTGCTGTGTATATTTCTTCTCCCAGCCTCCAGAGAAGGAGGGAGGCCTGCCTCGGCAGGTGGGCAACAAGACCGAGTGTGCTCTGCTGGGCTTTGTCACAGATCTGAAGCAGGATTTCCAGGCCGTGCGTAATGAAGTGCCTGAGGAGAAGCTCTACAAGGTGTACACCTTCAACTCAGTGCGCAAGTCAATGAGTACCGTCATCAGGAACCCCAATGGTGGCTTCCGTATGTACAGCAAGGGCGCCTCCGAGATCATCTTGCGCAAGTGAGCACCTCTGCCCGCTCTGCTTCCCTTCAAGATCCTCTCCTCAGGAAGGCATGGGTGCACGCCCCACACTGAACCCATGCAAATGAGGGAGCCTTCCAGCCAGGTGACATAATACCTAATATCCCAGCGTCTACTCAGGCCACGCATGCTTTTTAAGTGCTTAAGATGGCTCGTTGTATTTAATTCTCACAACTCATTAAGGTGGGTACTATGATTATCCCTGTTTTACAGATTGAGAAAACAGAAATATAAGGAAGTTAAGTATCTCGCTCAAGGTGATACAGCTACTAGTGGCACAACCAGGATTCAGACCTGGACAATCCTGTTTCCATTTCCTAATCTGAAAGCAGAGATAGTAGTACTCAGCTCCCAGTAGTACTACCCACCTCACTGTAAATGATTCAGTGTATGTAAAAGCCTTACACATAACAAGGACTAGAAACATTCATTCTGTGTTCTTTTCCTTCCCATTCCCATTTCTGATTACAGGGAATTTACATAACTTTCAAAGTGACTATTTGACTGGGTGAGCTGGCTCACACCTGTAATCCCAGCACTTTGGGAGGCTGAGGCGGGTGGATTACGAGGTCAGGAGTTCGAGATCAGCCTGGCCAACATGGTGAAACCCCATCTCTAATAAAAAAAAAATACAAAAATCAGTCGGGTGTAGTGGTTTGTGCCTGTAATCCTAGCTACTCAGGAGGCTGAGGCAGGAGAATCACTGGAACCCGGGAGGTTGCAGTAAGCTGAGATCATGCCACTGCACTCCAGCCTGGGCAACAGAGCTTTCTCAAAAAAAAAAAAAAAAAAAAAAAAAGTGACTGTTAATAGATTACCCATAGATCATCAAAAGTTGACCCTACTTAGGTATAGGGCCAACTATACCTAAATATATAAGTATTAGGTAGGGCTCAATTAACCAGTGCCCCAACTTGGTTTTAGCCACCTTCTTTTAATCAGCACATTCTTGTATAGAAAACTTCCCCCCACACCACCATGCAGTGAGCACTATTCTAAATAGTCAGGATTGAAAAAGTCTCTCTGCCTTCAAGAAGTTCCAAAGAGCAGGTGATTCACAAATGACTCAGCATTGCATTCACATGTGGGTAAGAACAGATGACACGAGAGAACACACTCTCTACCCACCTAGACCTTACTCCATCCACAGCCCACCCCACCTTGGAAAGGGACTCAGCTGGGTGATGGATGATGGAAATGTTTGGCCATGGTTGGAGCAATGTCTTTAGGAATAATACAGAGTTGCCAAAATGTCTGTCAATGATTGTAAAAACATATTGAATGGGAAGAGAGACACCGTGTTCTCACTGTGCGCCTCCCCAGGTGTAATCGAATCCTGGACCAGAAAGGGGAAGCAGTGCCATTCAAGAATAAAGACCGAGATGATATGGTACGCACTGTCATCGAGCCCATGGCCTCTGATGGACTCCGGACTATCTGCATAGCTTACCGGGATTTCGATGACGCAGAACCCTCTTGGGACAATGAGAATGAGATCCTCACTGAACTGACCTGTATCGCAGTGGTGGGCATTGAGGACCCTGTGCGCCCAGAGGTGAGAAGGCGGAAAGCCACTCAGTAGTCTCAGGAAATGGGGTACCACTTCTCTTTCTAGTTGTGACACCAGGCAAGTAACCTGACTGCTTCTCACTTACAGGGATAGATGTTTCTGGGCTTCCTGCTTCACAGGACTGCTGTGGAGTGACGATCTGATAGACTACGGCATTCCTAGGGTTAATAATGTCTGAGTTGTGAGAAGCAAAGGGCTTATTGGGCTCATTATTTGGTAGTTAAGCATTGTCAGGAGGCTGATTTAACCAGGACACCAACTTTGAAAGGCTCCCGCCTTTCAATCAACACATCCTTTTTGAGTACCTGCTGTGTGCCAATAACTATTCTAGACACTAGGAGATTGAAAAGTCTCTGCTTCTAAGAAGTTCAGACAGATGGACGGTTAATTGTCAAGGCCCAGAGGCATGAGAGGGTGTCATGCATGTGGGAAATTACAAAGAGCTGATAAGGTTGGAGCATTGGCCAGGTGGGTGAAGAGTGGCAAAAGCTTCTGCTAGAAAACACAGCAGTGGCCACATGGCAAAATGCCATCCATGCACTGCCGAGTAGTCTCCATTGTAAGTGGAAGAGCAAGTTTTTACACCTGGCTCCCAAAGCAAATTCCCCTTCAACTCATGGTACAAATAGGACAAATTCAAATATGACTGCTGTGGGTAGGACAGAAGTGAGATGGCACCGAGCAGTATCGAAACGACCAGACCTAGCCAGTGCTGTATGGCACCACTTCTAGGGTACCTCTCTCCTGTCTGCCACAAAGGGACTGATGAAATGGGACAGATTAGCAGGGTCTCCACCCCCATCTGTGCCTTTCCCCTTTTTTCACTCTCCATAGGTGCCAGATGCTATTGCCAAATGCAAACAAGCTGGCATTACTGTCAGAATGGTAACAGGTGACAACATCAACACAGCCCGGGCCATCGCCACCAAGTGTGGCATTCTGACACCTGGGGATGACTTCCTGTGCTTAGAAGGCAAAGAATTCAACCGGCTCATCCGCAATGAGAAAGGCGAGGTGGGTCCTGGATAGGGGGAACCGGGACCTCACCTGGAAAGGAAAAGGCGGGTTCTAGCCTAAGGTATCTGGGTCATGTCAGGGAAAGTGGGTGGTTTCTAAACTGAAAGCTATTCATTGTGACACATCTCCTTGTACCAAAGCTGCTCATATGGTAAAATTGGGAGTTGCCAGCCGGGTGCGGCGTCTCATGCCTGTAATCCCAGCTGAGATGGGAGGATCAAGACCATCCTGGCCAACATGGTAAAACCCTGTCTCTACTAAAAATACAGAAATTAGCTGGGTGTGGTGCGCATGCCTGTAGTCCCAGATACTTAGGAGGTGGAGGCAGGAGAATCGCTTGAACCCGGGAGGCAGAGGTTGCAGTGAGCCAAGGTCATGCCTCTGCACTCCAGCCTGGTGACAGAGTGAGACTCCATCTAAAAAAAAAAAAAAAAAAAAAAATTGGGAGTTGGCTTTCTTCTCATTAGCTCCATTCACAAGCTACCTTTTGAGATAGTGTCACTAACTTTTCATGTCTTTCTGCTTTTTCAGTCATGAAATGATTTTGTACTGACTTCCCCCTAGCCCACCCCTCCTGTGTCCCTGCCCCCTGCCCTTTGGCTAACAGTGGCTAAAGAGAATGTGGCCTGGCAGTGGCACAGATCCAAGCTTTCCTGAACTGCAAAGAAATCAAACCTAAGACCTCAGAAGCACCACTTTACCTATCCAAGCCAAAAGCCAACCCTGGCCCACCTCCCCTTAAGGCTCTGGGAAAGCGGGGATTGGCTCCCAGGAAGGGCCTTGGGAGGAGAAGGGAAAAGCAGGGCCTGAATGGTCATCATCTGTGAATCTACCCTTAGAGACTGGTTGGCTGTTTCATCTGTGCTGAAGCCTGAGTAGCACTCCCATGTGGGACTGTGGCGTACCTGATCTACCAGTGGCTGGAGAAGTAAGATTCTCCTGGATAGCTTTTCTGAGTTTGACTGATCCAGGTGTGGTCTGGTGTTGGCAGGTAGAGCAAGAAAAGCTGGACAAGATCTGGCCTAAACTTCGGGTCCTGGCGCGATCTTCTCCCACTGACAAGCACACCCTGGTGAAAGGTGAGGTTGGCTTCCAAATAGGTGCCTGCCGTAGCTGTGAAGGTAGGCCAGGGTGAGGACAGGTAAGAACCACCAGCCAAAGCCACTCTCCTATCCAAATAGGGAGGTCCTAGGAGAGCTCCCAGGCTAGTGGGGAGAACATACAGTTAGCAAACATCTGAGCCCTTGGTGAGTATGACGCACAATAAAGCTGTTGGGTTTTTCTTTTTTTATTTTTCTTTTTTATTTTTGGAGACAGACTCTTGCTCTGTCACTCAGGCTGGAATGGAGTGGCGCACTGCGACCTCGGCCTCCTGAGTTCAAGCAATTCTCCTGCCTCAGACTCCTGAGTAGCTGGGACTACAGGCATGTGCCACCATGCCTGGCTAATTTTTGTATTCTTAGTAGAGAAAGGGTTTCACCACTTGGGCCAGGCTGGTCTCGAACTCCTGACCTCAGGTGATCCACCCACCTTGGCCTCCCAAAGTGCTGGGATTACAGGCATGAGCCAAATCACCTGGCAAGGGTTGTTCGATTTTTAAAAACATGATCATATCTCATTTACTAACAGTACTGTGAACTAGGCAGGGCAGGTATTCCCATTTTATAAATAAGGAAGTTTGAGGCTGAAAAGACAAGTAACTTACCCAAATTGCCCAGCTGGTAGGTGGATATGGTACAGTTTGACCCCCAGGTCTCTGCCTTGAAATCTATTCAATGTTTTTTTCATAGCTGCCTTAGGGTGCCAGATGAGGACAGACTTAGTTTAGTGCTACCCATGAACAAATTACTGCTTTCGGGTGGTTCCTGCAGAACCTCTAGGAAAGGAAATAGGGAAGGAAAGAAGAAAGTAGGAGTGTGGGTGGTAGGAACTGAGCGGTAGGGGAGACCAGAAAAGCTCACTGTGGTGTATCTGTTTCTCCCAGGCATCATTGACAGCACCGTTGGGGAACACCGGCAGGTCGTGGCTGTCACTGGTGATGGCACAAATGATGGGCCTGCTCTGAAGAAAGCGGACGTTGGTTTTGCCATGGTAAGCTCAGCACAGTCTCTCTCTGATTGCTAGCTGCCTTCTCCATCAGGAAGCCAGGTCTGGCTTCTGGTACCCTGCTGCTTGCTATACCTGCACAGCCCACCATGTGCTCTTTTCTCCAACCCCATCTCTCCTATCTACCTGACCAATCATATTATACATAACTGGGGACCCATCAGGGATGAAGAATAGATAAGAGGGAGGGAAGTCAGCCAGTCGCAGTGGCTCAGGCCTGTAATCCCAGCACTTTGGGAGGCCAAGGTGGGTGGATTGCTTGAGGTCAGGAGTTCGAGACCACCCTGACCAAGATGGTGAAACCCTGTCTCTACTAAAAATACAAAAATTAGCTGGGCATGGTGGCATGCGCCTGTTGTCCCAGCTACTCAGGAGGCTGAGGCAGAAGAATTGGTTGAACCCAGGAGCAGAGATTGCAGTGAGCCGAGATTGCACCACTGCACTCGAGCCTGGGTGATAAAGTGACACTCTGTCTCAAAAAAAAAAAAAAAAAAGGAGGGGGAGGGATGTCATGAAGGATCATTATGCAGGAAAGCCAGACCAACATAAACTTGCCGATAAACGTGATGATTTGTGTTCCCTGTGGGAGATGCACTTTGTGGCTGGCACCATTGGGTACTCTGCTTTTCACTTATGAGGCCAAGAGTATCGGAATCACTTGGAAAGTTTATTTAAAATCACATGTTCCAAGGCTCCACAGTTGGATGTCTTAATTCAGTAGGTCTGGGGTGAATTCCAGAATTTTTTTTTAAACAGGCACACCAGTTAATTCTGATGTTCAGAAAGGTTGAGAAGCCCCCCGGATTCGATCCTCAGACTCCAGTAGTTTATGATTATAAGCCTCCCACACAGATTGTACTGATGGTGATTTTTAGCAGTGGAAGGACATTTAAGAGATTATCTTCTTTAGGGAACTCTTTTTTTTAAAGGTTTTTATTCTAGGAAATTTCAAGAATATGCAAAAGTAGGGAGACCTGACAGGTACCTGTCACTCAGCTTTGGCTATGATTGACACATGGCCAGTCTTGTTTCAGTGATCCCCACATCTACATCCCCAATCTTCATCTGAATTATTTTTGAAGCAAATGCAAGGCATTATGTAATTTCATCCTTAAAAACTTCATTATATGGGGGGGAGGGTGTGGGTGAAAAAAATTTTCATTGTATGCCTGTAAATAATAAGTATGTATCAATAAATTATATCTAAAAGAATCATAATACCATTATCTCAGAACAAAATTGATGTTTCCTTACTATCATCAAATATCTAGTTTGCTCACATTTTCCTAACAGGCAAATAAATGTTGTTTTTATAGTTTATTTGCCCAAATCAGGATTCAAATAAGATCCATACCTTGCAATTATTTGATACATCTGTTAAGTCTCTTAACCTATAGCTGCGGCTCTTGAAGTGCCCTCCTTCCAGCTGCACCAGTAGGTGTACAGCCGTTCCAGCTGTATAGTAGGTTTGTATACAAACCTATAGAAAGCAGATTCTCAGTCCCCATCCCAGATTTACTGAATTGGAAAGCCTGGAATTGGGGCCCACAAATCTTAATTAATTATGTTAAATCTGTTCATTGTGTTTTGACAATGATTCTCAGTGAGTCTGATGCACCCTAAACTTTAAAAACCACTGACCTGGCCGGGTGCAGTGGCTCGTGCCTGTAATCCCACCACTTTGGGAGGCTTAGGCGGGTGGATCACGAAGTCAGAAGATTGAGACTATCCTGAGCTAACACGGTGAAACCCCATCTCTACTAAAAATACAAAAAATTAGCCAGGCATGGTGGCACAAGCCTGTAGTCCCAGCTACTCTGGTGGCTGAGGCGGGAGAATCACTTAAACCCAGAAGGCAGAGGTTGCAGTGAGCCCAGATTGTGCCACTGCACTCCAGCCTGGGCGACAGAGTGAGATTCTGTCTCAAAAAAAAAAAAAAAAACTTACCTGGCAGGGGAGATACCATGATCACGAAGCTGGTTTTCCCAGGGCAAGGCTTATCCACTGCACTCCAGATGTACTGACCCCTGCCATTTCCCCAAATGTGGGAAACTCAACTGCATAATTTGTGTTCGTGGGGGACTGTGTTCATGCTTTCCCCGGACAATTAAAAAGAAAAAAAAAAAGAAAAGAAAAGAACCACTGATCTTATAGGTCCCCAAAACCACCCCTATATTCATGGATTTGCTAAGAGGTCTCATGGGACTCAGCGTACAGTTGTACTCATGACCCAGATTTATAACAGGGATGTCGTAAGAATACAGTTGTATCATAAGAGAAAAAGACACTGGTGGAGTCTATCCATTTGCAGTCTTTCTTATGCACTCCCTCCCATGAGGAGTCAAACAGAGTCCATTCTTTCCCCAGTTATGAAAACAGCATTATCTGTGTGATGTTCTGCTTAGGGAAGCCCATTACAGACTTAGTACTCAAGGTTTTTCTTGGGGCTGGTCACATAGGAACCTTCTGCTTAATCCATACCAAAATTCCAAACTCCCAGAAGGAAAGCAGAAGTTCAATACAAACCGTATTGTTTGGACACAGTCTAGACACAATGAGCCACCCTTATCAGTTAGTTGCTGATTGGGAGCACTCTGAGAGCTCATTTCCCAGATGCCAGCCAAGGGCCCACCCTGCAAGCATTCCTTCCTAAAGACAGCAGTCTCAGGCCTATGCTAACTCTCTTCTGCACAATCCCCCTCCATCTCTTTTCCTAGCAACGTAACCGGCTTGTTTGTCTGCAAAGACTATCTCAGTGTGGATTTTGTTGATTATTTCCCCGTGATTTCCTTTAACATGTTATTTTCTTCCTTACATTTCCTATAAGCAAGTAGTTGGTTCTAGAAGTTGTCAGATGCTATACCTTTCCTTTCATTGGGGGCTGCAAAATGAGAATATTGTAATTATTTATTTATTCACGTAAATACTTCTATAAAAAGAGAATCCCCTTTGTTTACTGTTTGATTACTCTGAGGTTCTAATCCTACATGAAAGGTGGGTTTTTGTTTTGTTTTTTACTTACTGGTTTTTTGTTTTTTTGTTTTTTTTCCCCCTCTGGTTCATGTTCTCTGATGAAGCTACAGGTTTTTTCAAATGATGAGTTGACATTTTAGGAACCTCCAAAGGTGACCAATGAGTGGATTTTTTTTTTAAGTATCATTGTGAATTCATAGTGACCCATCCTCAGGCAGTGACCCACCATGAGGCAGAAGAGGCCTCTTTAACATTGGTGAGTCCTTTAGATAAAACCCCAGGTGTCTTTAATAACTTTCTTTTTTTTATTTCATTTTTAATCTAGGTCAGTGCAAAAGTAATCTTTCTTGGTTTATTCCTTGGTTCTTGGTTCTTTTTTATCCTGGATATGAAATCGTCCATTTTTGCAAGGATTCCTGCAAATGGTATTTTTATTTATTTGTTTGTTTATGTTTGAGACAGAGCCTTACTCTGTCGCTCAGGCTGGAGTGCAGTGGGGCAATCTCGGCTCACTGCAAACTCCCCTTCCCAGGTTCAAACAATTCTTCTGCCTCAGCCTCCTGAGTAGCTGGGATTACAGGTGCCCGCTGCCACCGGCATCTAATTTTTTGTATTTTTAGTAGTGATGGGGTTTCACCATGTTGGCCAGGCTGGTCTCAAACTCCTGACCTCAAGTCTCGCTCTGTCGCCCACGTTGGAGTGCAGTGGTGCGATCTCAGCTCACTGCAACCTCCGACTCCCAGGTTCAAGCAAGTCTCCTCTCCTGCCTCAACCTCCCAAAGTGCTGGGATTACAGGGGTGAGTCACCACGCCCGGCCTGAAATGGTGTTTAGAGAACACAATTGAAACTCAAAGGCATTCTTTGCCACTGAGTAGGTCTTTGTTTCCAAGCCTGTTCAGCGGACAAAGCTCAGAAGTAAGCTCTTAGGCCCCACTTGTTTTTGTGTTTGTTTTGTGTTTTCATTAAATGAAAAATAAATATGATTCACAAAGTATTTTATCTTTGTGATAAACATATTTATTTTTATTTTTATCTGTGAATTCATATTTATTTGAATTCATATTTATTTTTCATTTAACTTTAGAAGTATATATTTCTTTTTATTTCACTTTTAGAAGAAATAATAATAAATAATATTTTTAAAAGAATTATAGATGTCTAACTTCCTGTAATCCCAGCTACTCAGGAAGCTGAGGCAGGAGAGGAGACTTGCTTGAACCTGGGAGTCGGAGGTTGCAGTGAGCTGAGATCGCACCACTGCACTCCAACGTGGGCGACAGAGCGAGACTGTCTCAAAAAATATAAAGAAATAAATAAATAAAAGATGTAATATATTTATGGCCTTCCCCCTCAGCTAAGTGATACCATACCATAAACTCTTTTTCTACCTTTCTTTCTTCATCTAACAACATAACTTGGAGATCATTTCATAGTGGTAATTATAAGGCTAGGCAATACAGAGAGACCCCCATTTCTACAAAAAATTTAAAAATTAACTCAGCATGGTGAGCAAATGCCTGTAATGCTACTCAGGAGGTAGAAGTGGGAGGATCACTGGAGCCCCAGATGTGGAGCTTGCAGTGAGTTGAGATCTTGCCACTGCACTCCAGCCTGGGCAACAGAGCAAGACCCTGTCTCAATTATTTTTTAATTTAATTTAAAAAGAAGATTTTGAATGAAGATGAAACTTCTGAACTGTGCTGCCATACCACTACTCCTAGAACAAATGTAGAGTTTCTCAAAGGTGTTGGAATGACACAGGCTTAAATGAGATACTGGCAGTGGGAACAGAAATGTAAGAATGTGGAGGTAGAATGGATAGGATTTGCTCTCGACCTTTTAATTAGTTTCCGAGGTTGAAGGGGTAGGAGGGGAGGGAGAAAGGGATATCAAGATGACTGTAATTCCCAGTCTGGGCTCAGTAGTAAGGTTGGTGGCATCGGGCCCCACCTTCCTTTCTATAGAGCGACAGTGACACGTTTTCTCTCTTTTGTGTGGCTAGTGTGCCCTCTAGTATTTACACTGACTTCTGAAGCTTCCTGGAGGTCAGGAAATGGAGGCTGGGCTCCATCCCCTCCCTCACTGTTTTCCCTCCCATCTTACCTCAGGGCATCGCAGGCACAGATGTAGCAAAAGAGGCTTCAGACATCATCCTAACAGATGACAACTTCACCAGCATTGTGAAGGCAGTGATGTGGGGACGCAATGTCTACGACAGCATCTCCAAGTTCTTGCAGTTCCAGCTCACTGTCAACGTGGTGGCCGTGATCGTAGCCTTCACTGGAGCCTGTATCACTCAGGTGAAGGCGGTGTGGGTGGGCTGAGACGGGAGGGACGAGGCAGGAGCAAAGGAACACAGGGTGGAGGGTACAGTGTGTTTACTGAAGAGTAAGGACAGGGTTTCCCCGTGACATTGGGACAGGAGTTAGCTCTACCAAGTCCACCGTCTTCATCTGCTTATGTGGAATGATGGTAACTTACGGGCCTTAGCTTAGCACTTATGTGTCAGCTGCTGTGATAAGCATTTATATATACTACCTGTATTCTTCAAAAATGACCTTGCAAGGTAGGTATTATTATCCCCATTTTATGGGTGGGGAACTTAAGGCTCAAGGAAGTTAAGTAACTTTCTCATAGTCACTCAGCTTGGAAGTGGCCAGATTCCAAGTCTAGGTGGGTTGTGGGAGCTGGACCTTTGAAAGGGCAAAGGTGGGCTGGTTTCTGAGAAAAGCTAAAAAGACTGGTGCTTCTTCCCACTAGGATTCCCCATTGAAAGCGGTGCAGATGTTGTGGGTGAATCTAATCATGGACACATTTGCTTCGCTGGCCCTGGCCACGGAGCCCCCTACGGAATCCCTGTTGAAGCGGCGCCCCTACGGCCGAAATAAGCCTCTGATCTCACGCACTATGATGAAGAACATCTTGGGCCACGCGTTCTATCAGCTCATTGTCATCTTTATCCTTGTCTTTGCAGGTGACACTTTGGGGTGGGGCAGCAGTTCAGGTGCTGGTTGGAGGTGGGGGCAGAGAATGGCCTCAGGAAAGAAGGTAGCATGAAAGCAAGAGGAGCACAGACCAGGAATGAGTGCAGGTTCACCTCCCAGTGCTTTCTGTACTCCTGCTACACGGTGTATTATGCTACTGCATGTACTCAAGAATTTCATGAGGGAGGCTTTATTACTTCTTTTTTTATAGATGCAAAAAATTAAGCTCAGGTCCCATAATGAGTACATAGTTGCCCTAAATTCAAATCTAGGATTGCCTGACTCCAGTGCACATAGTCTTATTACCATGCTGCACTACATGAAAGCAAGTATCGCCAGGCGCGGGTGGCTCACGCCTGTAATCCCAGCACTTTGGGAGGCCGAGGCGGGTGGATCACGAGGTCAAGAGATTGAGACCATGCTGGTCAACATGGTGAAACCGTCTCTACTAAATATACAAAAAGTAGCGAGGCATGGTGGCGCGTGCCTGTAATACCAGCTACTCAGGAAACTGAGGCAGGAGAATTGCCTGAACCCAGGAGGCAAGAGGTTGCAGTGAGCCAAGATTGCGCCACTGCACTCCAGCCTGGGTAGCAAGAGTGAAACTCCATCTCAAAAAAAAAAATAAAGAAAGCAAGTATCAATGCAGCAAGCTGAGAAAGAAAGTAAAATAAGTCAAGACCAGGGCTAACATTGAAAATATTTAATAACTAGTAAAACAAAAAATTAGCCAGTCATGGCGATACATGCCTGTAGTCCCAGCTATTCAGGAGGCTGAGGTGGAAGGATCATTTGAGCAGGAAGGTCCAGGCTACAGTGAGCCATGATCATGCCACTGCACACCAGCCTGGGCGACAGAGTGAGACCCTATGTCAAAAAAATAAATAACTAGTATAGCTCAGTTACTGATCAGTTGGAAGGGACACCAGGCATAAGGAAGCAATATAGCTGTTGCAACACATTCTGACTCTCAGACCACACTTAACACTCCAATGCTTCTCCTCTCCCCACTAGGTGAGAAATTCTTTGATATTGATAGTGGGAGGAAGGCGCCTCTACATTCACCACCCACCCAGCACTATACAATTGTTTTCAACACCTTCGTGCTGATGCAGCTCTTCAATGAAATCAACTCCCGAAAGATCCATGGAGAGAAGAACGTCTTTTCAGGCATCTACCGCAACATCATCTTCTGCAGTGTAGTCTTGGGCACGTTCATCTGCCAGGTGAGATTCTATCTGCAGTTGAGGCAGGAGATCTGGGATGATATGGGGCAGAAGCTGGGAGGCGGGGTTTCCTAAATACCTAGGAAAAGGAATGAGGGAATTATGGAGACTGGGGCCATAGGTTGAATACTTTGGGATTCCCAATTTACTTTCTTTTTCATATTGCTCTAGAATGGGAGCCCAGTGTGTCAAGAGCTCCAGTGCAGGGCAGCATGTTGACTGCAAATAAAATAATACTTGTAAAATCATTTCGTTATCTTTCTAAACACATAGAAATTTCACAAAGTGACCAAAAGAAGTGCCACTCTCTTCTAGCCCTTCTATGGCTCCTGTCAGCCTACATGAAATGTGCATGCACACCTAGTATAGACCCTCTCCCTGTCCCTGCCCCTTTGTTCTGAAGGGCTTATGATAAAGGTGTTGTGCAACTCAGAGAAAGAGAAGTAATGGGAGGGTATACATATATTACACAGTCAGCCCAGCGTGCACTCCTCCAGTATGGGACTATGAGCTAGCCCTGTAACAAAAGAGCTCCTGTCCCATCCCTCAGCTAAGGTATACATATATTACACAGTCAGCCCAGCGTGCACTCCTCCAGTATGGGACTATGAGCTAACCCTGTAACAAAAGAGCTCCTGTCCCATCCCTCAGCAGGGTATACATATATTACACAGTCAGCCCAGCGTGCACTCCTCCAGTACGGGACTATGAGCTAACCCTGTAACAAAAGAGCTCCTGTCCCAGCCCTCAGCAGGGTATACATATATTACACAGTCAGCCCAGCGTACACTCCTCCAGTACGGGACTATGAGCTAACCCTGTAACAAAAGAGCTCCTGTCCCAGCCCTCAGCAGGGTATACATATATTACACAGTCAGCCCAGCGTGCACTCCTCCAGTATGGGACTATGAGCTAACCCTGTAACAAAAGAGCTCCTGTCCCATCCCTCAGCTAAGGTATACATATATTACACAGTCAGCCCAGCGTGCACTCCTCCAGTACGAGACTATGAGCTAACCCTGTAACAAAAGAGCTCCTGTCCCAGCCCTCAGCAGGGTATACATATATTACACAGTCAGCCCAGCGTGCACTCCTCCAGTATGGGACTATGAGCTAACCCTGTAACAAAAGATCTCCTGTCCCAGCCCTCAGCAGGGTATACATATATTACACAGTCAGCCCAGCGTGCACTCCTCCAGTATGGGACTATGAGCTAACCCTGTAACAAAAGAGCTCCTGTCCCAGCCCTCAGCAGGGTGTACATATATTACACAGTCAGCCCAGCGTGCACTCCTCCAGTACGAGACTATGAGCTAACCCTGTAACAAAAGAGCTCCTGTCCCAGCCCTCAGCAGGGTATACATATATTACACAGTCAGCCCAGCGTGCACTCCTCCAGTACGAGACTATGAGCTAACCCTGTAACAAAAGAGCTCCTGTCCCAGCCCTCAGCAGGGTATACATATATTACACAGTCAGCCCAGCGTGCACTCCTCCAGTATGGGACTATGAGCTAACCCTGTAACAAAAGAGCTCCTGTCCCAGCCCTCAGCAGGGTATACATATATTACACAGTCAGCCCAGCGTGCACTCCTCCAGTATGGGACTATGAGCTAACCCTGTAACAAAAGAGCTCCTGTCCCATCCCTCAGCAGGGTATACATATATTACACAGTCAGCCCAGCGTGCACTCCTCCAGTACGGGACTATGAGCTAACCCTGTAACAAAAGATCTCCTGTCCCAGCCCTCAGCAGGGTATACATATATTACACAGTCAGCCCAGCGTACACTCCTCCAGTACGGGACTATGAGCTAACCCTGTAACAAAAGAGCTCCTGTCCCAGCCCTCAGCAGGGTATACATATATTACACAGTCAGCCCAGCGTGCACTCCTCCAGTATGGGACTATGAGCTAACCCTGTAACAAAAGAGCTCCTGTCCCATCCCTCAGCTAAGGTATACATATATTACACAGTCAGCCCAGCGTGCACTCCTCCAGTACGAGACTATGAGCTAACCCTGTAACAAAAGAGCTCCTGTCCCAGCCCTCAGCAGGGTATACATATATTACACAGTCAGCCCAGCGTGCACTCCTCCAGTATGGGACTATGAGCTAACCCTGTAACAAAAGATCTCCTGTCCCAGCCCTCAGCAGGGTATACATATATTACACAGTCAGCCCAGCGTGCACTCCTCCAGTACGAGACTATGAGCTAACCCTGTAACAAAAGAGCTCCTGTCCCAGCCCTCAGCAGGGTATACATATATTACACAGTCAGCCCAGCGTGCACTCCTCCAGTACGAGACTATGAGCTAACCCTGTAACAAAAGAGCTCCTGTCCCAGCCCTCAGCAGGGTATACATATATTACACAGTCAGCCCAGCGTGCACTCCTCCAGTATGGGACTATGAGCTAACCCTGTAACAAAAGATCTCCTGTCCCAGCCCTCAGCAGGGTATACATATATTACACAGTCAGCCCAGCGTGCACTCCTCCAGTACGAGACTATGAGCTAACCCTGTAACAAAAGAGCTCCTGTCCCAGCCCTCAGCAGGGTATACATATATTACACAGTCAGCCCAGCGTGCACTCCTCCAGTATGGGACTATGAGCTAACCCTGTAACAAAAGAGCTCCTGTCCCAGCCCTCAGCAGGGTATACATATATTACACAGTCAGCCCAGCGTGCACTCCTCCAGTACGAGACTATGAGCTAACCCTGTAACAAAAGAGCTCCTGTCCCAGCCCTCAGCAGGGTATACATATATTACACAGTCAGCCCAGCGTGCACTCCTCCAGTACGAGACTATGAGCTAACCCTGTAACAAAAGAGCTCCTGTCCCAGCCCTCAGCAGGGTATACATATATTACACAGTCAGCCCAGCGTGCACTCCTCCAGTATGGGACTATGAGCTAACCCTGTAACAAAAGAGCTCCTGTCCCAGCCCTCAGCAGGGTATACATATATTACACAGTCAGCCCAGCGTGCACTCCTCCAGTACGAGACTATGAGCTAACCCTGTAACAAAAGAGCTCCTGTCCCAGCCCTCAGCCAGGTATACATATATTACACAGTCAGCCCAGCGTGCACTCCTCCAGTATGGGACTATGAGCTAACCCTGTAACAAAAGATCTCCTGTCCCAGCCCTCAGCAGGGTATACATATATTACACAGTCAGCCCAGCGTGCACTCCTCCAGTATGGGACTATGAGCTAACCCTGTAACAAAAGAGCTCCTGTCCCAGCCCTCAGCAGGGTGTACATATATTACACAGTCAGCCCAGCGTGCACTCCTCCAGTACGAGACTATGAGCTAACCCTGTAACAAAAGAGCTCCTGTCCCAGCCCTCAGCAGGGTATACATATATTACACAGTCAGCCCAGCGTGCACTCCTCCAGTACGAGACTATGAGCTAACCCTGTAACAAAAGAGCTCCTGTCCCAGCCCTCAGCAGGGTATACATATATTACACAGTCAGCCCAGCGTGCACTCCTCCAGTATGGGACTATGAGCTAACCCTGTAACAAAAGAGCTCCTGTCCCAGCCCTCAGCAGGGTATACATATATTACACAGTCAGCCCAGCGTGCACTCCTCCAGTACGAGACTATGAGCTAACCCTGTAACAAAAGAGCTCCTGTCCCAGCCCTCAGCCAGGTATACATATATTACACAGTCAGCCCAGCGTGCACTCCTCCAGTATGGGACTATGAGCTAACCCTGTAACAAAAGAGCTCCTGTCCCAGCCCTCAGCAGGGTATACATATATTACACAGTCAGCCCAGCGTGCACTCCTCCAGTACGAGACTATGAGCTAACCCTGTAACAAAAGAGCTCCTGTCCCAGCCCTCAGCCAGGTATACATATATTACACAGTCAGCCCAGCGTGCACTCCTCCAGTACGAGACTATGAGCTAACCCTGTAACAAAAGAGCTCCTGTCCCAGCCCTCAGCCAGGTATACATATATTACACAGTCAGCCCAGCGTGCACTCCTCCAGTACGAGACTATGAGCTAACCCTGTAACAAAAGAGCTCCTGTCCCAGCCCTCAGCCAGGTATACATATATTACACAGTCAGCCCAGCGTGCACTCCTCCAGTATGGGACTATGAGCTAACCCTGTAACAAAAGAGCTCCTGTCCCAGCCCTCAGCCAGGTATACATATATTACATAGTCAGCCCAGCGTGCACTCCTCCAGTACGAGACTATGAGCTAACCCTGTAACAAAAGAGCTCCTGTCCCAGCCCTCAGCCAGGTACCTCTCTTATTTTTCCCCATCTTCAATTCCTTTTTTTTTTTTTTCAATTTAATTTTAAAAATAGAGATGGAGTCTCACTGTGTTGTCCAGGCTGTTCTTAAACTCCTAACCTCAAGCAATCCTCTGCCTCCCAAAGTACTACTATGCCTGGGCTTTTTTTAATTTTTTTGAGACAGGTTTTTTCTGTGTGTTTCACCCAGGCTGGAGTGCAGCCTCAGCCTCCCAGGTTCAAGCAATCCCCCCACCTCATCCTCAGTTCCTCTCTCCATCACTCTACCTTCCTGTCACTAACTGGCTTTAGTCACAAGTAGCCTCCAGCTCCCCTATGTCCTCCAGATCATCTGTTACTCAGAGTCATAGTAACTTCGACTGTCTCCCCTCCAGAGTGCTCTATAAGGGCTGTTTGAGTCTGTCTCTCCTTAGAAATTTCCTCTTTTCCCTTCCCTTACAAGCAAATCAGAACTTGCACCCAAGGATCCTGAGGCAGGGGGATGATGTGGCTTTGGGGGCCTTGACTAGAGGACCAGAGCTGCCTGTTGGTCACTTCCTTGATGGTGGGCTGCCCCTTTCTCTATTCTAGATTTTCATCGTGGAATTTGGGGGTAAACCCTTCAGCTGTACAAGGCTCAGCCTGTCCCAGTGGTTGTGGTGTCTGTTCATTGGAATTGGAGAACTTCTGTGGGGCCAGGTAAGCACCAACACACCCTCCCGATGCATTCTCACAGCCTGCAGACCTCCCCTCCTATACGTGAGATGGAGACCCCCCCAGCACCCCATCTTCATCTTCTCCTCTTTCCTCCCCACCCCCACTCAAGTTTTCAAGTTCTTGCCATCTCACAGGATCTCAGGTGGAATGATCACTCCAGAGGTTTCAGAGTTCCTCTCTAACCATGCCTGGAGTTAAAAATCCCTCAGCTTCCCTGAGACAGGAATTAACCTTTTCAATGGCATTTCACTACCAAAAAAAAAAATTAAGGGTCTTAGAAGTAGAAGAGTTTACAAGACACATGTCTTTATTCTCATGAAGCAGAAACCTGGCTGTGGGCTGCTGGGCTGACATAATTCAGGGCTCCCAGCCTCTTCTGTTTCTTGCCATGGCTTTATTTGGGTGGAATGCTTAACACTTACCTGATATATATTCAGATTTACAAGATCTCTAGGGTAGCACTGTGGCCTATGGTTCAGAGCATGGATTCTGAGAACGACTGGGTTTGAATCCAGCTCTCCTTTATTTGTTTTTCTTCTGTCACCCAGGCTGGAGTGCAGTGGTGTGATCTCAGCTCACTGCAACCTCCGCCTCCTGGTTCAAGCAATTCTCCTGCCTCAGCCTCCCAAGTAGCTGGAATTACAGGCACCCACCACCGGAACTGGCTAATTTTTGTATTTTTAGTAGAGATGGGGTTTCACTTTGTTGGCCAGGTGGGTCTTGAACTCCCGACCTCAGGTGATCCACTCACCTCAGCCTTCCAAAGTGCTAGGATTACTCAGGCCTCTTCTTTTTTTTTTTTTTTTTTTTTTGAAATGGAGTCTCACTCTGTCACCCAGGCTGGAGTACAGTGGCATGATCCCAGTTCACTGCAACCTCTGCCTCCCGGGTTCAAGTGATTCTCTTGTCTTAGCCTCTAGAGTAGCTGGGACTACAGATGAGTGCCACCAAGCTGGCTAATTTTTTTGTATTTTTAGTAGAGATGAGGTTTCACAGTGTTAATCAGGATAATCTCGATCTCCTGACCTTGTGATCCGCCCACCTCGCTCTCCCAAAGTGCTGGGATTACAGACATGAGCCACCGCACCTGGCCTTAGCTCTCCTTTTTATAGGCTGAATAATCTTGGGCAAATTACTTAACCACTCTGTGTCCCAGTGGCTTCAACTTACGAAAACAAGGTCATTGTTAATTAGTGAATCAGTTACGATACAGAAAAGACTTGGAATAATGTCTAATACCTTGTAAATTCTTAGCTATTAAGGTTATAACAGGCTGGGCACAGTGGCTCATGCTTGTAATCCCAGCACTTTGGGAGGCCGAGGCAGTCGGATCACCTGAGATCGGGGGTTCGAGACCAGCCTGGCCAACATGGAGAAACCCGTCTCTACTAAAAATACAAAAAAAATTAGCCAGGTGTGGTGGTGTGTGCCTGTAATCCCAGCTTCTTGGGAGGCTGAGGAAGGAGAATTGCTTGAACCTGGTAGGCAGAGGTTGCAGTGAACCGAGATCGCACCACTGCACTCCAGCCTGGGTGACAAGAGTGAGACTTTTGTCTCAAAAAAAAAGATGAGGGGGTCTCGCTATGTTATGCAAGCTGATCTTGAACTCCTGGGCTCAAGCAATCCTCCTACCTCAGCCTACCAAAGTGTTGGGATTACAGGTATGAGCCACAGCACTCACGCTCCCTAATTAATGTCTATCAAATTCCCTCCACCCTGTGCTATTTGCCGAAGTGTTTTTACCAGTGGGTGCCTAAAGCAGTTTTGTGCTTTGGTAAAGCTTGGTTGTGTCACCTGTTGTTTGAAACTCTTCTGGCCCTTGCCTCACATGTGGCCATGTAGCCTCGATGCCAGATAACAGCCTTCCTTCTGTATCACAGCAGCTCTTTCCCGCATTTGGAGTCGGAGCTTTGGCATTGTTCTCGTTTCAAAACACGTGGCTCCGTGTCAGACTGCCCATACAGTCCCTCTTCCCCCTGTGAGCCCTGGCTGCTTCTCATCTTGTCTGGAAAGAACTGACTGACAGCTGCTGAGCTCACCAGGAGATTTATTTTGAATTTCAAGCCCAACGTGCTGCTCCTTGTCTTCTGATAATACTCATGTGTCCCTTCTTCTATGGCCTGTCTCATCCGCTTCCTCATCTCAAGCCCAAGAAAACTTTTGGTATCCTTTCACGAGAGTTTGTAACACAGAAACTATATTGCATGTGGCAACTAAGAAAGGGGTCATTCATTTCCAATACCCTTCTCAACCCCTTGCCCATACATATGCCGTATGATCATCTTCTCCCCAGACTGCTTTCCCCCAGGTCCTGGTCTCTGTGCCCTCCTACTGTGTACCATGCAATATAGTTCTGTTAACCTTAAAAGACAGATCACAAAATGGAAAAGAAGCAGTGAGACAAAAAGAGGAATATGAAGTATATGACCAGGCAGATGGCTGGTCGATTACTAGAATATAAGCTCTGTTTTTTGTGTCCATAAATACAGAAAACCTTCCCAAGAGCCTGACCGCTGGTGGGCACCTGGAGAATGCTTGCCTGGATGGATTGGTGCTTCTGTCCACTGCTCTTCCAGTGGGAAGGGTATAACCTGCCCAAGGGCCCGGCCCTTGAAGGTTGACTGACAGCAATTCTCACTCTGATTCTGGTGTCTCCCTCTTCACTACACTTGTTTTCAGATCATCTCCGCAATACCTACCCGATCTCTGAAGTTCCTGAAGGAGGCTGGGCATGGCACCACCAAAGAGGAGATCACCAAGGATGCCGAGGGGCTGGATGAGATTGACCATGCCGAGATGGAGCTGCGCCGAGGCCAGATCCTCTGGTTCCGGGGCCTGAACCGTATCCAAACTCAGGTACTCTGAGAGTGGTCTGCCCTTGCCTTGGGGGAAGAAGCTTCCCGTCTTGGAAGGTGGTGGGAGGTGGCCAGCATCTCTTCCCTTCCAAAGGCTCACTGCTAATGGGCAGCACTAGCTCCCCAGCTTCAGGACAAATGGACAAAGGGATCTGAGTGGGGTCCTTTGAGAGGAGAGGAATCAAATGACCGAGACCATGGGACACTATTAGCATAGTCCTTTAGCTCTGGGCTGACTCTAAGCCCACCCTCCTACCTTCTGTCAAATGGGCAAGCTTCAGCATAAGGTTTCTTGCGAGCACTAGACCTGACCCCAGGGTGGGAAATGTACAGTGTTTCCCTAGCCTTCAGAAGAAAGGAGTTAGTATCTCTATGCTGACATCCCTAGCATTCACTTACTGTAGCCTCCTTACACGGCCATCGTGGGAATAGATACCATCTGGAGGGGTCTTTGTAAAAGAAAGTCACCTTGTTCTATCTCCCCCACTCAAAGTGTAAGGCCATGGTGGGGAATCTGATGGTTTCATGTATAAAAATGACAATAGTCTCTGGATGTCTGAGCATCTTTTTCAGGATTCAGACTTGCTTCTTGACAAGGAGGAAGCAATAATTTCTTCAAGCCTCTTCCCTTCTTGCAATTTCTGAAATGGGATAAAACCGCCCTGCTGCTCTCAAGTCCCCTGCCTATAGCCCCACAATAACTTTTCTTTTCCACTTTTCATGCATCAATTCTAACTACCTTCTCCTGGGTGAATGGGCTGGTCTAGGCATTGATAATTCTGTCTTCCCTTGCTCTCACCCCACATGCCTTTATTGCTTTCATCCTAAGATTTTCTATCTCAAAAAACTGTAAATTTCACGATCTCAAGGGTGGTCTCCAAAGAAGAGGTGTATTTCTCTCTGCTGATTGGCTGGAGATCTTCAAAATAAGTTTCACTGTCTAAAACTGGCCTAGCAGATGTTTTAGAAAGTTGCCCAGTTAGCCGGGCGCAATGGCTCACGCCTGTAATCCCAGCACTTTGGGAGGCCAAGGCAGGCCAATCACCTGAGGTCAGGAGTTTGAGACCAGCCTCATCAACGTGGGGAAACCCCATCTCTACCTAAAAAAAATACAAAATTAGCCGGGTGTGGTGGCACATGCCTATAATCCCAGCTACTCAGGAAGCTGAGGCAGGAGGATCGCTTGAACCTGGGAGGCAGAGGTTGCGGTAAGCCGAGATCATGCCATTGCACTCCAGCCTCGGCAACAAGAGTGAAACTCCATCTGAAAAACAGAAAAGGAAAGTTCAGCCCCACCAGTCAGCCCCACCTCCTTAGTGTATAAATGAAGAGAGATAAATGAAGTGAATATTCTAAACTACATACCTGAGAGGAACTTATCTCCTATGGGCAAGACAACAGACAGAAAAGTAGAAAAGAAGATGGGCGCAGTGGCTCACACCTGTAATCCCAGCACTCTGGGAGACTTAGGCGGGTGGATCACGAGGTCAGGAGTTTGAGACCAGCCTGGCCAACATGGTGAAACCCCTACTATACTAAAAATACAAAAATTAGCTGGGCATGGTGGTGTGCACCTGTAATCCCAGCTTCTCGGGAGCCTGAGGCAGGAGAATCGTTTGAACCCAGCAGGCAGTTGCAGTGAGCTAAGATCGAGCCATTGCACTCCAGCCTGGGCTACAGAGTAAGACTCTGTCTCAGAAATAAGCAAAACACACACACACAAGAAAAGTGGAAAAGAAGGGCTAGGTAGGGAAACACTCGGGTTCCTTTTCCCTCTCTTGAGTTCCTCCCAGAAAGAAAAATTCCAGAAGGACCTGAACAAAGTGCCTCGTGGCACCCAGAGTCCTCATGCCCACTCCCCACCCACCCCACCCTCCAGGCTGCTGAATCCAAGTGCCCACAGAACCTGGCGCCTTTGGCTCCCATCGCTAAAGCCCCCAGTATTTTCCTTTGGGTCTGCTCTTTCCAAAATAACCTGTCTTTGCTTTGCTTTTCTTCAGGATCAACTGCCTCTTCTACTACATGATTTCTTTTCTCCTAGCCAAGATTTCCTCAGTCCAGTGCCTCCTTGCTCCTTTCCAGTCTTCTGTCCTAGGAGGCTAAGATGCATGGGTCTTCTTCCCCTTCATGACCAATCTCAATTCCCTTGACAATGCACCTCTCTATAAGGTCTATTTGGTTTCGCTGCCTACATAGCTTTAGGTAGACTACCTTTCCCCATTGTTGGAACATGAGGCAGTTGGGCCAGACTGCATTAAAGCCTAAAGTGAGGCATGTTCAAGATGCCACCATGACCAAATTCACGGCATCCCAGGATGCACCTGACTCCGGAATCTGATGAGGCTAATAATGCTAACATGCATCCTGGATCCCTGAGATCCGCTCCCAGCATCAGCCTTTCAGCCTCAGCTGGGTTCGCCCCCTGCCATCTCCAAGTCGATCTTTGCTGTCATTCCCATCACAGTGCTTGGGTGTGGGAGGTGTTGCCCAGCTGCTTTCTAGTCCTGATTGGGATTTCCCCTTTTCCTTGTTCTGGGTTGTTCTTCTAGTCTCCTTTTCCCTTTGGTTTTTGGGGAGCTGAGAGCATCAGAAAGCAGAAGTTTAGGAAACTTAGAGACTAGAATTGTGGAGGTTGGAACCTTGTAACTCCAATAAGCACTGAAGAAGGTGTCTCTACAGTCCCTCTGTCCATGGAGCTGGAGCCCCCCCCACCCACCCCAAGTGTAAACCCTCTCCTCCTGCGGGTTCAAACTCCTCAGTCCTGGAGAACTGAAACTGAATAATGTGAGGAAGGGGTGGTGTTGCAGCTCAGACTGTGATCTGGGTCCAGAAACTAGCCCTAAACAGCTCACGGCTTCTCAGGAAGCTTTATAAAAGAAATGTCTCACTCACATTCCGCTTGCTTTCCCATCTTCCCTCCCAGGAAAATGAAGGCCAGTTAATAAAATCAGCACCTTTCCTACATTCCTAGTAGATCAACCCTTGGCATTAAGCAGATAGATATTTCTAAAATTATTCTACCAGATTCATGAAGGCTGAAGGGAATCCTTTTGATTTTGTCCTTGTTATTTAGGGGTTAGGGATAAGGATGGTAGAGTTGATTGAGGCCCTAGATCAGGACCACTGTCAGAAAATGAATGGCATGGCCAGGCATGGTGGCTGACACCTGTAATCCCAGCACTTTGGGAGGCTGAGGTGAGCAGATCATGAGGTCAGAAGTTCGAGACCACCCTGGCCAGCATGGTGAAACCCCATCTCTACTAAAAATACAAAAACTAGCCAGGTATGGTGTCGTGCACCTGTAGTCCCAGCTACTCAGAAGGCTGAGGCAGGATTGCTTGAGCCCGGCAAGTGGAGGTTGCAGTGAGCCACTGCACTCCAGCCTGGGCGATAGATTGGGACTCCCTCTCAAAAAAAAAAGAAAGAAAAGAAATGAACAGCATTAATTGCCTCTGTCTCTGTGGAACAGAGCACTGAAAACCAGAGACTACTTGTGTAAGCCACCACCAACAAAAACCTCTTCCTTTCCCTCCCTCAGTCTAATTGCCAAGTTACTGTCAGCATTTCCGCCAGACATTTCAGAATCTCGAATGCATTAATGCACTTAGCAGCATTTTCTATAATGGGCTTGGCCACTGGGTTCTTGAGCTCCATTCTCAGGAACCCTGCCTACTTCAGCCCAGGGAAGGAATAGATACCCAGAGAAGATACTCAGAGGAGAATGAGCCCAGCAACTCTTGGCCCAGGGGCCTTTCCATCATGGCCACCTATATATTGACTACTACACAGCCCCTGTTTTTTCTTTAAACACATGAGTTATCTTCCTGGAAAATCTGCAAAAATATAGGTAGCCGGTTTAATTGATTTAGAGGGTCCTGAGCCTTGAAATTCAGTAATATATAAATTGCCTTCAGAATCTTTACGTTGTTTGCCTGATTTTTAACAGTACAGGTAAAAAACAATGAATAAGCTGCCAATGTCTGTCCAGCTTGTAAGGAGTGATGGAGAGGGAAAAGTCCCTTTAAATTTTAAATAGTCTAGCCCCCTGTACACCTCAGGTGCCCACTGTGGATTCAGAGGGAAGAGAAAACTAGATTATGGCTGGGCTTGGGACTCCATGGCAAATTGTTCCCTAAATGAATTGTGATATGAAATAACGTTTTTCCCCTTCTCACCATTGCTGTGCGGGAGGGAAGCTCTCTCTTGCTGTCTCCTGTTCCCTTTTCCCGTCTACTTCCATCCCCACTTCCCCAACCTTCCATGACCCTCCCTTCCTCTTTCTTCACCTCTCTCTGACTGTGGAGCAAAGCTGTCTCACTCTCTGATTCTTTGCAGATCGACGTAATTAACACATTCCAGACGGGAGCCTCTTTTAAGGGAGTCCTAAGGCGACAGAACATGGGTCAACACCTTGATGTAAAACTTGTTCCTAGTTCATCCTATGTAGCAGTTGAACCAGTCAAATCCCCCACCACTTCTGTTCCTGCTGTTTCATCTCCTCCTATGGGCAGTGAGTGAGAGTCTATTATGATGCATGATTTGCTAAAATGACCACAAGAGAGCACGTGGCATCCACTTTAACCAACCGTGGTTATCGTTTCCTTTTGGTTTTTCCCTTTGATCTTTTGACTTAAGGGAAGAAAAGACAAAAATCCCACTCCAAAACCAGCCTGTGTGCCCTTGTATTTAATTTTTTTAATGTAGAAAATCTATTAAACCTTAACTGTTTTAAAGACAAGAATTCTGTTTTCTGATTGTTCCTCTGCATTGCTTGTTTCTTCCTTGAGTTTTGTTTCATTTTGCTTTGCCGTTTTTGTCTGTTTGTTGCTTTGCTGGAATATGTTATTGCTCCTCTCCTCTCCTCCTTCTCCTTTGAGTCCGAACTCTACCTTCTAAGCTTAGATGTGAAGTTAGGCCTAATGAAAACCCAGGAACTTTCTTTACATGGGGGCAAAATTTGGGATCTTTTGAAGAAAGGTAGGAAGGGAGCTAATGTGCTTGTGGGTGTGTTTTGACTAACGGACCTGTCATAATTGAGCCAATATTAAACTTGATCAAAATAAGTCCATCTGGCTACCACTGTATTGTTAACTGGCAATTTTAGCATACCAAGTTGTAGCTATAGGTGAAGAAAAGAAGGTAGTTCAGTTCAAATGTATTTTGCTTTTCAGGGACTCTGGTTCAAAAATCAGTTAATTCGCCAGGTGTGATGGCTCCCAGCTACTCAGGAGGCTGAGGTGGGAGGATCGCGTAAGCCCAGGAGTTCTGGGCTGTGGTGTGCTATGCCAATCAGGTGTCTGCACTAAGTTTGGCATCAATATGGTGACCTCCCTGGAGCGGGGGACCACCAGGTTGCCAAAGGAGGGGTGAACCGGCCCAGGTGGGAAACAGAGCAGGTCAAAACTCCTGTGCTGATCAGTAGTGGGATGGTGCCTGTGAATCGCTACTGCACTCCAGCCTGGGCAACATAGTGAGACCCCCACCTCTTTAAATAAATAAATAAATAAATTAAAATCAATTAATTGATATCAAGGTAGGAGAAATATACAAAAGAGTCAAAATAACATTTTTTTCTTCATTTACTAAACTCTTTTAAGGAGTTTCTGAAGAGGAGTCCCTTTTACTTTGCTTCTCCTTTCCTCTAGTTTGATTGTTTCACCAATAGCCAGCTCTTATTTTGCATATAAAGTTTTAGGAACCCCTGTCTCAGCCAGATTTTCAATTGTAATGTTATCAATCCACAACCTAAGATCTGGTGTTCCCATTGGTAGATTCTTTGATTCTTGCTAATGTTTATGCCCTCCTATTCTTGCTTATTTTCCCTTCCCCAAATGGGACTCAGAGAGGAGAGAGAAAGTAGCTAGTTCTCTGCTGATAATGTGGGAAGCAGTTTATCTGTATTAAATGTAATGTGGGTTTCAAAATCTGAGTGTTCAGTCTGTTCCTTCCTCCCCTTTCCCAGCTTCACCCCCCATCTCTGGGAAGGGGCTGAAGAAAGAACAGTGGCCTTGTCTGTGGTTCACATGATGGTGGACTGTGTGGGTTGACCAGACTTAGATTTGTTTTGTCTTTTTAGCCAAAGTGTTCTGATGTGAGGAATGGGGGTGGAGCTTGATAGAGATACATACTATTTCTTTAGGTCAAAAAACAGGCAAGAAGGAACTAAGTAAGTCTTGCCCTGCAAACATCCAGGAACCTCTCACAGCAGTCCCTTCATATTCCCCTCTTAATTCCTTTTTTCCTTATAGTTCTGTCCTCCCCTTCTAACTAGCTTCTGTTCTGTTTTAATTATCCCTTTCTGGTAGGAAGGGTTAGTTTCAGGTGTCCTGATGGTTTGATGGTGGAAGGAGACTAAGCAGAAGACTGAGCCCAGTGGGATCTTATAGAGGACCTGGTAGAGGGTATGCTCCAAACCCTCAAAGGCTAGAAGATCAGAGGAGAGACAGGCCACACCTGCTCTTTCTCCAGCTGTGCCTTTTTAGTTGGAGCTCCTAGAAATTATAGCCATAGCTTTTAAAACCCTCTTTCCCATTCCAGATCTCCAAATAAATTCAACTGTTTGTCCTACCTTCATTAGATAGATCTCTAGGATTTCCCTGCACAGGGAGGCCCTAATCCTCTTCTCCTGGTTTCTGAAAAGAGCAGAACACAGAATTTTCCGGCTGAGGAAATGGAGTCTTCACCTGCCCACTCATTGAGCTACAGAGAGTAGCCCTTAGCACTTGTACCTAGTCTCCTGAGTCACAAAAAGGGTTGTCCTTCAACCAGCCACTTCCACCTGTAGGCCTGGGCCCCAGAAGAGACATTTCCCCAGGTTTTGAGAAATGATGACCAGGGAGGGAAGGGTTAACTGGCTGTGTGGCGAGTGCGCAAAACTTTCCCTGCACCTGCTTCACTAGCCCTAACTGCTCATCCAGGAGGCCTCATGCTCCAGGAAGGGAAGATGCCAGCCCTGGATGGATTGGTGGTGAAATAGTGTGTGGTTATTCATCAGCATGTGTTCTCTGAGGCCAGTGCTGGAGTTGGGGCATCCTGGCACAGCCCCATGCCCTCTCCTCCCTTACCCTTCTCTCCACCCACCAAGCCAGCTGGTGGTCCCCAGCTCTCTGACCCCTCTTCACGTGAGCTTCCCTTACAGGTGGCTGGTTTCCCTTTAGATTCCAGAAGTCCTGCAGTCTAGCTGGATGACTGTTTCTTGCTCCCTAAAAGATGTTTCCCATATTTTCTCCATCTACCCATCCCCAATTCACTTTTATCTCCCTCATTGTTTATGTGTAACAGTATCATTGGTCACCACAACAGGTGAGAGGAAAAGCCAACAAACAGGGCTCCAGACCCGCACTCCAACCCCAGTTGTTAAAAATTTATTTTCTATAGTGGACTTCACATGTAATTGTTTCAATAAAGTATTCAATTAAATGGAAGCAGGAAGTTGAAAATCACTGATATTGAAGATGATGTACTGGTGGATAAAGGCAACTACCCTCCTGTAATATTCAGTTTAGATCTTGAGAGCATATGAAAAATGTGGGCTATGTTATCACTCCCAACAGTGATGACTTTGATGGGGTGGGATGACTTTGGACTCAAACCTTGGCCATTGTATCTGTACCAGGGCCAAGGGAGAAGGCATTGGGTTTGGACTCATTTAATCCAAATTGCCTTGCTCTGAGATTTTATGTAGATCAATGAAAACTTGAGACTTCCTGAAGACCAGATGGAGCTTCCATTCCATCTGATCTCACCTAGATCTGGAGCAAAGGCAGCATGACAGGTAAAATTCCCACATCAGATGGTCAAATAGGAATCAGATAATAAAAATGTGGTCCTCACTATCTGTTCAGCATGGTGAGTGTGTGCCTATGCTCCCTGATTCTTCTTAGCTGAAGGGTTGAGCTGATACTATTGACTGGCAAGGAGTCCTTTGCCTACTGAGCGTTGAGCACCCTCAGACCTGGGTGGGTCTGCAGGCTATTGCAGAGTGGGGCAAGATAAGGAAAGCCTTAGCCAGTAGAGACACATTCTTCTCCAGAGAAGAGGGACCGACAGTATTGATAGTGAGCCTGCTTTGAGTAGTATTTATGAAGGTTCTGTATGGTGGCAGGAAGCACTGGAACAGCGATCCAACCCGTTTATTTGGCTGACTCTTTCTTTGCTCTGCTGTCTCCAAGTTCTTGTGTCTCCTCCTAGAATATACTTTTTGCTTAAATGGCAGAGGAATGAAACAGGTACGCTACTCTCACCATCACTCCTACCCCTCTAACCTCAACAGTTTCCCCTGCATTTCTCCCATTTCTTTTCTGTGGGAAGATTTTTTGGACAAGACTAGGATCAGCCACCTTCCAACAACTAAAACTGTCTTGCAACAATTTACCTTTCCCCTGGCCCCTCTCTCCAACCTCTCAGAGTTCCAGCCTTCTCCCTCTACCCCAATCCCACCAACCCCAATTCTAAGCCTCACCTCAGAGAGACCTACAGTTTGGAAAAGCAGAGCTGCCAAAATTCTTGGTGCCTGCGGACAAGCAAAAGCTGTTCACAAGAATCAATTATGTCGATTTTCTTCTTCATGACTCTGAACTGACCGAATCCCTTCCTTTTTGTGCAGTAGGACAGAGACTTTGACACTGGGCAATGCTTTTCCCTTTGCCCATTAAAATGGCATGTGGTTTCCCTTCCTCATCCTCTTCATCCACCCTATCACAAACGCCACTTGTTTGTAGCACTGCCTCCTGGATTAGGTTTCTCTCCCTGGTCCCTTTCATTCCCTTCTCCACATAAGACCATGCTCCTCTTCACAATTTGGAAACAGCTGGAGAAAGCAGCATGATTGGGCACAGTTGCTGTGCATCAGAGACATGAACATGCATTGAATTATGAGAGTAAGGTCTTTTCTCAATAGGCAGGAGGAAGGCATCTTTTGACACCTGTATTCTATCCACTTCGGCTGAAGGAGTGAAATTCTGTGTTATTTGCAGGGAGCGGGCACAGTGGTGGTTGTGGGATGTAAAAATATGCATGTTTCCTGGCTGAATGGGCAAATTATTAAATTGAAGAGTGTTAATTTTCTGCATGCTGCTGACACAAATGAAGATTGGTTTGTCTGCCTGGCTGCAAAGTATTCATGGTCACGTGTCACCCAACGTGTATTATGTGCACATTGGTGTATGCTGGCTCTTTGAGGTCTTTAAACAGATAACTAAACCTCAATGCATAACTTTTTCATTCCACATTCACAAAATGTTTGGCCTCAACACAGAAATCCACACGTCTGAATCGTTGTTTAAGTTTGGCTGTGAATTTGCATCTAGTTCCCATGTCCTTGTCCTCCATCTGAAAGAACTAATGAAACTTCTTGTTTTCTGTTTCATTCTAAAAGTAGATTGTTTGAGAATGCTAATGTTGCTTTGGGTTTTCTACTTTTTTTAATGCAGCTTTCAAAACATCCTAGCTGTTTGCCATCACTCACCCCAGCCCACCCCACTGCTTGAAAGTTGAGCCACGTGATGTTTCTGGTGCCCATGATCTCCTCTGACTGTTTGGTTTTGGTTGTTGAGCGGTCATGTTTTATAGCGGGTTTTGTTTCTCTCCTAAAGCCACCATCCTTGCTCTGCCGGCCGGTTCTCACCTCCCTGTTTTCTCATTCTCCTTTTCCTTTCCCTGGTGTAGATCAAAGTGGTCAAAGCGTTCCATAGTTCCCTCCACGAAAGCATTCAGAAACCCTACAGCCAAAACTCCATCCACAGCTTCATGACCCACCCTGAATTTGCCATAGATGAGGAGCTGCCACGAACACCACTCCTGGATGAGGAAGAGGAAGAAAATCCTGACAAGGCTTCTAACTTTGGGACTAGGGTGCTCCTGCTGGATGGTGAGGTCACTCCATATGCCAACACAAACAACAACGCGGTGGATTGCAACCAAGTGCAGATCTCCCACGCGGACAGCCCTTTACAGAGCCTAGAGACATCGGTGTGAATTTCTTTCTCTGACTCTCATCCCTATTTTCCCTATTTTCTTTTTCATCTGTCCCATCTATAAGGTGATGATGGGACTTTTCATTGTCATGCCAACTGCTGTGTCAACAGCAGTGTGTGTGAACCCCCACCTGACCGTGAAGAGGCAAGAGCACAGACCTACAAGGATTTCAACTTAAGCTTGACTTGGGGTTTGTAGCAGGACCCCGTCAAACCCCAGGCAGGTAAAGGTAGAATCTACTCCTTGGCAGTCAGTTGTCATTTGTAAAGAAATGATGACAATCTTCTTGACATCACCCACCCCACCTTCTCCCCTGATGTTCATCTCCTGAATTCTGGATTTTGTCCTAGAAGTCTGTGCCATGTATAAGCTAAATTAAGGGTTCAGAGGGAGACAAATATGCCCAAGTGGACTACATTGAGTAGAGATGGAATATATAAAATCAGCCCGTAGTGTGGTTGTTTTCCAATTTTTCCCACTTTGAAAACTTACACCTATAGGCCTAGAAGCCTCTAACTCTTTCTGCCCTTCTAGTCAAACTTCTCCAAGGTTCTTTTGCTCTTTTGTCTTCCCTTCCCTTCCTTTTTTTTTTTTGTTTTTGTTTTTGTTTTTAGTTATGGTGATTAGGAAAATGGAAAGGATATGCGTTAATTGAGTAAACTTTGATCCTTCTCCCTTTTGCCCAAAACAACCCTTGATTTAGTTCTAGAATCCAACGCTTTCTTTGTTAAAAGGGTCCTTTTGAAGCAATTAAGTGCTGTTAAGAATATTTTGGTTGTTGGGCCGGGCGCGGTGGCTCACGCCTGTAATCCCAGCACTTTGGGAGGCCGAGGCGGGCGGATCACGAGGTCAAGAGATCGAGACCATCCTGGCCAACATGGTGAAACCCCGTCTCTACCAAAAATACAAAAATTAGCTGGGCGTGGTGGCGCGCGCCTGTAGTCCTAGCTACTCTGGAGGCTGAGGCAGGAGAATTGCCTGAACCCAAGAGGCGGAGGTTGCAGTGAGCCGAGATCGTGCCATTGCACTCCAGCCTGGCACCTGGCAGTGGAATAAGACTCTGTCTTATTTTATTTAAAAAAAAATTTTTTTTTTATAAAAAGAATATTTCCCTGTTGTTGCCAGGTTACCTTCTGCTTTTAACCTGCCATCTTGTCAGGTGTATGTGGTTCTTAAGTGCCAGGGAGATCAGCCTTGCCCATGAAGGTTGCATATGTGTGGTATATAGTTTTTACTGTAGGCCTTTCTCCTATTCCTAAAGTGGTGGCAAAAGAATGAACTGGGTATGACCCCGCCTCCTTACTGGACTTGCATATTGAGGACCAGATGCTGGCAAATCTAGGACAAGACAGACCATCAAAGCAGACTTTTGTGGGCTCCTCTTTGGGGTGACCACTGCTTTCAAAGCCATCTGCCAAGGCTCTCCAGGGCAAGACCTGACTGGTGGAGAATGAGTGTTGAGAAGCCTTGGGAGAGGCCAAAGAGCCAATCTAGAATGATCTGAGAAAACCTTCCTGCAGGGGCCAGCTTAGGTGCCTGGGGACCAGCTTTGACATTCTTTCCAGTTTCTAATTCTACTTTTTGCCACATATCACAACTTTTCGAGTCTCTGAGAAGGTCCCAGCGTTTCTCAAATATTCTGATTTTGAAAAATATGTATCCAAAGTGGGAGGCCCCTGTGACATTTTGTCAACTTAATAGAGCAAAAGACCCCCCCCCGCATATCTGCATTCCTCCAACCCCCCTTCTGCCACGTGCTCCAGCTGCTGGAGCACAGTAAAGCCCTGTACCTTTATTCCCTGAACACTGCCCAAAGCATCCCCTTCCCATCTGCCTCTCAGGAGTTGGGGAATTTGCTAGGAGATTTTTTTAAATGTTCCTTACTGGGGCAAGGTGGAGCCACATTGGCAGGAGCTCCGTTTGTATCCCTGCTGATGTTGACTTCTGTGCAGGTGCCAGTTCATGTCTCCGACTCTCACCTCCCATTAGATAGTGAAGCCCACCCCCCTCTCTCTAGAGCGATGGGAGTCAAGTAGAGGAGGCATATGAACTGCCAAGTTCCCATGTGAGAGGAAGGTGACCTGATCCACCCGGCCTTTTCTTCCAGATCTGCCCTCCCTCACCCCTTTCGCCTGAGCTGTCTACAGTAGGAGACATAAAGAAACAATGCCCCCTACACATCCCCATGACTCCATAATCCATCATTGTAGGAAATAGGAAAGCAAATTTGATTTTTGTTTTGTGAAATCTACATGCTTCAGTAATTCTTTTTTGTGTCTTAAATACTCATGGGGAAAAAAAACAGCTCACCCAAGGTGGTTAGGTGTTGACATACATATTCATCAACTACTTCAGAAGATTTAATTCTATCAAGTCTTGTATTACCTCAGATCATTTTAAATAGCAAGCCAATAACAAGCTTTGAAGGCTATTTTACCATTCCGGTTCACAAATGACTCTCATGGTGCCCAATAGGTTACTCTTGAGGGCTTGTGTCTACTTTGTAAAAGTCAACGGTTTTTTTCTTGTGTTCTAGTTTCCATAGTAGGAGAGAAAATATAGAAATATATGCAAAAAATATAGTTTTCTTTAGATCAGAAACTGATATTTTTGAGTCAGCCATATGTATTTTGTTTAAATGACTTAAAATAAAGTGCCGTCATGTAGCCCTGTGGAAGGGAGCACATAACCAGCTGTTTGACATGACAGGTGACAGTATATTTGTGATTGGTTTCAAACCAATACACTGTACTTACTTTCTCCAAACAGCCATCTTTATACTTAGGGGAAAAAAATTGTTGGGTTCTAGACTTTTTTAATATAAATTTTGTTGATATGGAATTAAGTTTAAGTGTCTATGTTCATATGTTTTTTATAGAAGTTTTTTTTCTATTCAGTTTCACTGATCCAACTGGCAGTGGGTAAATTTGGCATAAGTTAATAACACTTTTCCCCAAAATGGTGCTTTGGATTTGAAAAGGGTCTGATGGGGAGAAGGAGAACATATCATCCTAGCTTCCTCTCTTAATAAACCTAGAAAAACGGGTAGTAAACTGTGGATAGTCAGGAAAATACCCAGCAAGGGACACAGCTGTCAGGAAATGAATCCCCCCACCCCGCCATACAGATGGACAGCCAGACTCTTTCCTAACGAGTGATTAGGATCAGGGGCCTTGGTTGGAATTGTGTTTCTTGAAGAATAGCTGGCAGAGAGGTACCAAAGACATTAATATCTCCTGGTCTGTAAGGATATTCTGATTTGGGGTTTGTGTTTTTCATGGTTTGTATTTCCTATTCCCCCTGGAGTTTTCCATTAGTGAGTTTTTGCACAAGGATCTTATTTGTGATGCCTTTCTTCCCCTAGAAGGAATTTGTGCAATATATTAACTGGGGACAGAATTCTAAATGGATAAAACAATGGCTGGTCCTTGCCCTTAGTGACAGTCTTGGGGCTAGTCTATGGTCCTTCCCATTGTACCATCTGTCCTCTGGAGTGACTCTCCTATCCCTAAAGAGGTTAAGTGAGAGATCGCCTAAAAATCCCTCTAGACACTTGTGGGTTCTTTAGGGTTTGAGTTTCTTCTTCCCCTTGAGCTTCAGAGAGGAGAATTGGCACAGTTAAATCTGAGTGGCTACCTTACTGGTGAAAACCCAGAGGGGCGTGGCACACTCGTTTGTGCCAAAAAGCCTCTAAATGCATCCCTTCCTTTCTTTCCTGCTTCCTTTGCCTTACAATTGAAGCAGCCTGTGGTACCATCACAATATGGAATTCCCTTCCTTACCTTTCATATCTAGGGACCACCCCCACTGCATTGGTGAGGGTGGGCACTTACAAATGCCTGCTATTGTTAAGCCATTCCAGCCTCTTCCTCCGAATAGACCAGACACCCTTTGATTTAGCTCAGTGCCAGTCCTTTTGCCTTCCCAACCCTGCTGTTAGGCCTACTGTTCCCTTTGCTGTTGATTAGGAGAGATGGAAGGAGATGAGCTCCCATAACTGAATTGGCCTTTGGTTCATGTTTGCTCCCCATATGTATATATGCCATATGTGAATATGCCATATATATGTGCCAACAAATCTATCTACGTTGTTCTTTCAAATTAGCACGCAGATAGGAATGTTTGAGTTTCTTCTTCTTTTAGTAATCAGTATAACAAGCACTGGTATTTTTGTACAAAAAAGAAAAACAAAACAAAAGATTGACTATTGTGGTCTGCATGACATAAACAAACAAATGGTAATATCAAAGCAATGTATACCCCAGTGTGTGTTGCCATAATTTGCAACTCAGCTTAACAGCGCACCCAATCTATATTTGCATTTTGATATTATTTAAGCTCTGTGTACAATGTTTTGCATGTATTTATATGGTTCTTAGGGGGAAAAAAATGCTATAAACTGGCAAGTCTGAAATTCAAATGTGTTGTTCCACTGAGACCAGAAGAAGAGTTTTAAAAGGGATAAATTTGGAACCAATAAAGCTTTTTGCTGATGAACAGAAACCAATACTGCTGTGCACTGAGAATAAAAACTCATGCCCACTTGTAACTGTGCTGTCCTCAATGTGTTGCCGCTTTTGGGTAATGCCACTGATTGTCTACATAAGGTGAGAAGGGAAATCCCACACCTACAAGGACAACCTCATTTAAACAAGCACAGAATTCCTCTCGCCACTGGACTCTGACGATGCTTCCCTTCCCTCTGGGTCCTCATACTGGCTTCATTCCCTTGTAGTACAAACTTTGTTCCATCTACCTTGGTTAGTATCCACAATCCAGGAGCTGGAGCTTTTGGAAGAATAAGAAAGAGACAGTCTTGGCAGTCCTTGCTTTTTTTTCTCTTTCTTCTTTCCTTCCTTTCTTCCTTTCTTTCTCTTTTTTTTTTGGTTTTATTTTTTGTTTGTTTTATATGAAATGTCTTTTAGGAAAAGTAGTTTCCCTTATATTAGCTGCCTTTCCCTTGGGTTCTATACCAACCCCTTCCCTTCCCCATAGTTTAAAAAATGTCTTTTATTGCCCAGCAAGGTGGCCCAGGCCTGAAATCCGAGCACTTTGGGAGCCTGAGGCAGGTGGATCACGAGATCAGGAGTTCAAGACCAGCCTGGCCAAGACGGTGAAACCTTGTCTCTACTAAAAATACAAAGATTAGCCGGGCATGGTGGTGGGCGCCTGTAATCCCAGCTACTCAGGAGGCTGATGCAGAGAATTGCTTGAACCTGGGAGGCGGAGGTTGCAGGGAGCCAAGATCACACCACTGCATTCCAGTCTGGACAACAGAGCGAGACTCCATCTCAGAAAAAAAAAAAAAAGTTTTTCATTAATTGAGTCTTGCTAGAGACTGACATTAGGCCCCAGTTTCAGGTCAAAACAGCCCCCTGGCAGGTCATTTACATTCTGAGCTTTCATATCCGAGACAGCTCCTTCCTGCAGCTCTCATCCAGGTGCACAACCAAGTTCCCCACCCTTCTGTAAAATATCATAGGGAGGAGGCAGGCACACTGGTGCACACCTGTTGCCCCAGCGACTGGGGAGGTGGAGTGGATGAGGCGGGAGGATCGCTTCAGTCCAGGAGTTCAAGTCCAGCCTGGACAACATAGCAAGACCCCATTTCTAAAACACACACACACACACACACACACACACACACATCATAGGGAGGAAAGGACCTTGCCCACTCCTCAAATTCCTTTAGGAAAAGCATGACATTTTATAACATCCCAAACTCTCCTGGCTATTCTAATGGGCTAGATCTAAAGGAAGAACTAGCTCTGGTTGAAAAATACTTACATGATCTGAGATCTTGACCCCACTTCTCCGTCCCAGGTTGCTCTCCACAGGCATGAACACATTGCCCACATAGTTTATTTAAAATGGGAGCTGGAGAATAAATAATAAACTAAACAAACAAAAAGGAAAATTGGCTGGACACGGTGGCTCACACCTGTAATCCCAGCACTCTGGGTCACCTGAGGTCAGGAGTTTGAGACCAGCCTGGCCAACATGGTGAAAACCTGTCTCCACTAAAAATGTCAAAATTAGCCAGTCATGGTGGCCTGTGCCTGTAATTCCAGCTACTTGGGAGGCTGCGGCAGGAGAATTGCTTGAACCTGGGAGGCGGAAGTTGCAGTGAGCTGAGATTGTGCCACTGCACTCCAACCTGGGCGACAGAGCAAGACTCCATCTCAAAAAAAAAAAAAAAATCAATTAAAAAAAAATTAGCCAAGCATGATGGTGCACACCTACAGTTCCAGGTATTCAGAGGGCTGAGGCGGGAGGATCACTTGAACCCAGAAGGTTGAGGCAGCAGTGAACTGTGATGATGCCACCCCAGCCAGGGTGACAGAATAAGATCCCATTTCAAAAACACAAAAGCACTGACCTAGTCCATCCTTAAGGTCCCTGCCAGCTCTGAAATACCAAGATTATAACTAACAAAACAAATAGTGCAAAGTTGGGTGGTAATGTAACAAGTTGTGTTTAAACAAACAAACAAGCCTAATTTGGATTCTGTCTCAATTATCTCCCATTACAATTATTAATGTATGCACAAGTAAAATTCAGCAAAGCTTAATGACTGCAGCCTAGCCTGCTGAGACTATCTATTAGCTAGCTGATTCTGCAGTGGAATGATAATCTCCTGCTTTGGAATTTGTGGTGGAAGAACAGTTGTTTGGGAATGCAGGGCTCTAACCCAGCAGAATGGCATAAAATTAGAAGTGAGAAGTCTCATCCAAGGTGTGGTAGAAAGAACTTGATCTGGGAATTAGAAGGCCTGTGTTGTAATCCTGAGTGTACCAGAGTTTACTCTGGAACATAAGGGTCTTTCCAACTGTGAGTCTTTCCATTCTTGCTCTCACATCTAATGGCTATTAATAACCACTGGAGAATGTCTAGACGGAATTTCTGGTTCATTGCTTTATCTCCCCTGGAATGTAGCATTATTGTGTGTGTATTGAATACTGGGACATGTGCAGGCAGGCTTCACATCAGGCCCAGCCACTTGTATCTGCAACAAAGACAAATTTTCCACACCCCTAATGTGTAAGATATATGTTTCTTTTCTTTCTTTCTTCCTTTTTTTTGAAACAGAGTTTTGCTCTTATTGCCCAGGATGGAGTGCAATGGAGCAATCTGGGCTCCCTGAAACCTCTGCCTCCCGGGTTCAAGTGATTCTCTTGCCTCAGCCTCCTGAGTAGCTGGTACTACAGGCACAAGCCACCAGGCTCAGCTAATTTTGTATTTTTAGTAGAGACAGGGTTTCTCCATGTTGGTCAGGCTAGTCTCGAATTTCCGACCTCAGGTGATCTGCCTGCCTTGGCCTCCCAAAGTGCTGAGATTACAGGCGTGAGCCAGCACTGCACCTGGACTTTTTCTTTTTCCTGACCATGTTTCACTCTCGTTGTCCAGCCTGGAGTGCACCGGCATTATCTGGATCTCAGCTCACTGCAACCTCCACCTCCCAGGTTCAAGCGATTCTCCTGTCTCAGCCTCCTGAGTAGCTGGGACTACAGGCATGCACTACCACTTCGGGCTTTTTTTTTTTTTTTTTTGCATTTTTGGCAGAGACAGGGTTTCACCATGTTGATCAGGCTGGTCTCGAACTCCTCCTGACTTCAGGTGATCCACCTGTCTCAGCTTCCCAAAGTGCTGGGATTATAGGCGTGAACCACCGTGCCCAGCATTTTTTTTTTTTTAATAAATCAAATCCAGCACTGAACCAGCTTGCACTCACCAAGATCAGTGAGAGGCCTCTCTTTAGCCATTTTTTGTGGTCTTGTCACCTCCCACTTGGATACTGATCCACTCACTCACTCATTTAACAGGTATTTATGGTGCCAGGCACTGGAGACAAACAAAATTAAGTCCCTTACCTCTTAGAATGTGGTCTTGTGGAGGAGAAACAAATAAGCCAGGCATGGTGGCGTGTACCTGTTGTCCCAGCTACTGGGAGGCTGAGGCAGGAAGATCACTTGAGTCCAGGAGTTTGAGGCTTCAGTGAGCTATGATCACACCACTGCACTCCAGGATGAGTGACAGAATGAGACCCTATCTCTAAAATATTAAAATAAATTAAATTTAAAAATTTTTAAAAACAAGTAAATATATAGCATGTCAAGTGGTGATAAGAACCAGGGAAAAGGCTGGGCATGGTGGCTCACGCCTGTAATTCCAGCACTTTGGGAGGCTGAAGCAGGTGGTTCACCTGAGGTCAGGAGTTCTAGACCAGCCTGGCCAACATGGTGAAACCATGTCTCTACTAAAAATACAAAAATTAGCAGGGTGTGGTGTAGGCATCTGTAATCCCAGCTACTCAGGAGGCCGAGGCAGGAGAATTGCTTGAACCTGGGACATAGGGGTTGCAGTGAACCTTGATTGCATCATTGCACTCCAGCCTGGACAATAAGAGCAAAACTCCCTCTTAAAAAAAAAAAAACAGGGAGGAAAGTAAGGTGGGGTAAGAGGAATGGGAAGCACCAGATACAAGTAGAGAGTGCTCTCGGAGGGCCTCTCTGATACAGAGACCTGGAGGAATTAAGGAAGTGAGCTGTTTAAATGTGGAGGAAGGAGACGCCAGGCAAAAGGCCCAGCAAGTGGAAAGGCCCTGAGCAGAGCTTGATTTGCTTGAGGGTGTGCAAGGAGGCCAGGGGATGGAATGGAGTGACTAAGTGGGAAAGGGAGGGAGAGGAGTTCAGAATCTATAGGCCATTATAAGGCCGGCTTTCATTAAACAAGAATTCCTTGGAGGACTTTTTATTTTTATTTTTTTATTCATTTTGAGACAGAGTTTTGCTCTGACACCGAGGCTGGAGTGCAGGGGTGCGATCTCAGCTCACTGCAACCTCTGCCCCCGGCTTCAAGCAATTCTCTGCTTCAGCCTCTCAAGTAGCTGGGATTACAGGCACCTGCCACCACCCCCAGCTAATCTTTTTGTATTTTCCAGGCTGGTCTTGAACTCCTGATCTTGTGATCCATCCGCCTCAGGCTCCCAAAGTGCTGGGATTACAGGTGTGAGCCACTGCCCCTGGCCCCTTTGGAGGATTTTAACTGCAGTGATCTGTCTTACAGGGTGACAGGGTCATGCTGGCTATTGCTTGGCTGCAATCTATGGGAACGTGGAAGAACCATGCAGCTTTAGCTAGCACACACACTACATATGGGCCTAGCCTACTCCTAAAGGACACAGGTAGACCCAAGCTCCACTGTCATGCAGGTATCCCATGACACACAAAAGATCAAAAAGGAAATGTTTGCTCAAAAAAAAAAAAAAATTAAATGGAGTTACATTTCTTGCCTCCCCAGCCTATTCAGGACATCGTAATCAATGAAGTAACACCCCGGCCGGCCGAGGTGGCTCACACCTGTAATCCCAACACTTTGGAAAGCCGAGGTGGATGAATCACCTGAGGTTGGGTGTTCAAGATCAGCCTGGCCAACATGGTGAAACCCCGTCTCTACTAAAAATAAAAAAAATTAGCTGGGCATGGTGTCAGGCACCTGTCTATAATCCCAGCTAGTTGGGAAGCTGAGACAGGGGAATCACTTGAACCT